GCTTTTATAGAAATTAATGTATTCATAGCGTCTGTAAATGAAGTTTTCGGCGCTGTTATGACCCTGGATCATTATGTCATTTGTGTGCAGATATTTTTCCCTCCTCCTGTGGGTGTCAGTGGGTGTTTCTCAATGTCGAGGAAGGCTGTTCCAGAGCCACTATTTCAAGCATACTACATCATCGAGTCCCGCCGAAGGACTGTTCCAATGTCCAGCATACTTGGAATTCTACCGAGGCCGGCGTACTTCGTAGCGAGAAATGTCGAGGCTGCACATGTGTAGACTCCGCGGTCTTAAAATCCCCACAATGCTTTGTGCACGGACCAATAGAGTGGCGAAGTCACGCCCACTTACTTCCGGGTAATGGGACCTTATTTCGGAAAAATTATGCATTGAAGTCAATGGGGAGAGAAAACTTATCTTTCTATCCCGTTTGAATTGTGCCATGAATTACACATATGATGTTTGTCAATCTTAAAAAATCATTTCCATGTCAAAAAAGTCACAGTTTGTCGTAAAACTGTTGAAATATAAGACTATGAAAAATACGCAACTAGAAAGACTACAAATCCCAGAGTCGCGTAAGTGATGTCACAATTGAGACACTACGATATACGTATAATACCGTATATATACGATCAGCGCCATATAGATAGAATCTATCTATATGGATAGAATCTAGATAGATATAATCTATCTATATGGCGCTGGCTAAGATAAGATAACTTTAACAAGATGCCTGTGTGCTTAGTACCAGGTTGTTATCATACCAGCAATGGGTCTTGCTCGTTCTTTCGCTTCCCGTCTGATGAAAGAGGAGTACTCTGGATCAAGCTAGCTAGTAGCTAGCACGTTAGTTAGCATTACAGCCTTGTCATTTTTATTAGCCTTAACATGAAGTAACATTAAGTAACCCAAAATGTTAAAGTGTTACTTCACAGTTTTACGACAAATTTTTTTTTTTTTTACTTGCAAAATTATCTTTTAAATTGACAAACATCATATGTGTAATTCATGGCACAATTCAAACGGGATCGAAAGATAATCTTTCTCTCTCCATTGACTTCAATGCATAACTTTTCCGAAATAAGGTCCCATGGGGCTCAACCGGAAGGGGAGGGACTTCGCCACTCTATTTCCAAATCTCTCTCGCTCTTTCTGACCGTTAGAGCCAATAGAATCGAAGGGGGAGTCCCCCACACACACTCATTGTAAAACAAAAAGGCTTTGCGCATGTAATTTTGCATTAGAGTGAAACTATCTCTCGCTCTGACATCTAGAAACGGAAAAGCAGTCTCAATGCTCATGGATTATCAGAAATCATTTCAAAGGGACACAGACACATTGGATTAACCTATGGATTAACTTCAGCAGCGTTTTTATCGTTTTAATGCCATTGAAGACCACTTTGGAGAGACTACAGAGCCAAGGTAAAAATGTTAGCATTTTTAGCTACCTAGCGCCACCTGTTTTGATGTCCGTTTTTGTTTATAACGTCACGATTTCATATAATTCAGTGATAATGAGGGTACCCTTCGATTCTGTGTCACCTCACGATGTGAATCGATGTCATGGATGTGGGGAAAAGATAAATAATAATAATAGTTTTGTGAGTGACTTTCGGTGCAGTAATCTGTTAGCATTTTTCGCTCATTGCTAATTCAGAGGCTCAGTGTTAGCATTGTGGGTTTTCTTTTGAAAATAAAATAAAAATGATCAGTTAGATGAGTTTCTTCCCGTTACATGGATATAAAACATTCATAGTTTATTAAATGAACATGCCCTCAGACACTGTTTCCTGCAAGATGTTGCGGCAGTGCCCCGGTTTGATTGATTGATTGAAAAGTTTATTAACAGCTTGTATATTGGGTACAGTACAGTACAGCTCAAAACATACAATTGTTAAGGGGATGCAGACCAGAGAAAGACTTTCGTCTTGTTTACATCAGGGTCCCCCATTTCCAATTCATCACCGGTACCGGGGTCTCTCGGGCTTAACAGGTTAAATAACATCTATTTAGACAAAGTATTTTGATTTTTCTAGTTTTAACTTTTGCATACCTCAAAGTGTGTCTAAAAGTATCTTGGCAAGAGAAAAAAGCCAAAATCTGCCTAGTGTCAGTAAAAAAGTGTTAAAATCACAAAACTTGTCTTTTAGAGTGACAGTCCTTAAGAAAATAAAATGTGTTACACAGTGATTGACATTTTACCAGTTGTAAAGTTTTCAGACAACAAACTGTATCCAAAAGTAAGTAGCAGAAAAAAGCAAAAATCAGTAAAGTCATCAAAAACGACATTGTTTAAGTGGATTGTCTTACTTAAATCAAAAACTGCCATTAAGAGTCACATTCTTAAATAACATCTATTTAGAAAAAGTATTTCATTTTTTCTAGTTTTAACTTTTTGCATACATAAACGTGTATCTTACAGTTCCTTTGTGAGAGAATTACGCACAAATCTGTCATATCAAAACATTCTATTGCAGTATTTTATCTGTTGTATGTGCTCTATATATATATATATAGTTGAACTGTTGGAGGAGCCTGTGACCTATATTTTTCATTGACATATCTGCACTGTAGCTAATGGGGATATGACCTAAAGCCTTGAAAGTTGAAACTTAAAATCAAAACTGCATTGTCTCACGGAAACAGCCCTAAAGAAACCCAATTCCATACAAAGTACTTTATATTCTACCAAGAAACTAAATTCCTTACAAAGTACCAGTTGTAAAGTGTTGCTCACTTCAAAGTGTATCTAAAAAGTATCTTAGTAACAAAAACAAAAGCAAAAAGCATTAATGTTAACAAAAGCCTCAAAGGGCGGACTCCTGAGTTCCGTAATGTCCCCCCTAACATGGCACTTAGACTATTTACATCATCCAGGGATCAACACCAGTAAATACACCTCTTTGTCCGCTCTTCAAGCCTCAAAGGGCGGACTCCTGAGTTCCGTAATGTCCCCCTAACATGGCACTTAGACTATTTACATCATCTAGGGTAGCACACCAGTAAATCTTCCTTATAGTTAATAAAGTAATTAAACAATAAAAAAAGACAAGATCAAGGGGTCATTAAGATCTTTAAATTATTATTACCCTCTTCAAAGAGACTTCCTTGTAGTTAATAAAGTAATTAAACATTAGTTCACAAGCCATACAACTTAAGAGAACATCCCGTTAACAAGCCAAACTATTTCAAAAGAACAACAACTTCATAGGGGCTTCTTTAAAGTTGTGTGAAGTAATTAAACATTAAAAATACAAGATCAGGGGGGTCATTAAGATATTTTAAATTATTATTACCCTCTTCAAAAGAGACTTCCTTATAGTCAATAAAGTAATTAAACATTAGTTCACAGGCCATACAACTTAAAAAGAACATCCTTAGTTAACACAAATCATATTAAAAACTAATCTAATTTAGAGAGGACAATAAAGTTTTAGGTGACTTAGTGAGTCAAAATTAATGGCTGATAACAAAATCAGGGGTTGACAGGAAGGGGGAGAGGAAGGGGGGAGAGGAAGGGGTGTGAGGGGGACGGGGGGAGACAGTCTCACACATCCAGACTCCATTTTTCATGAAGAGCCTCAGACGGAGGGGTCTGAACCCGGCACAGATACTGCATCCGTTTCTTGACTGGCACTCCCGACGGATGGCGGTAAGTTGTCACAGGCGTCTCGCTGATTAAACCCATATCGATGCGTCTCTTAGCCATTTTGTTTTTGAAAGTTTTAGGTGACTTAGTGACTGGAAATGACTGGCTTTTTATCTAGTTTGAACGGATTTCTTTTTTACCTAACTCCACCCCCCCTCTATCTTCTGGCATCACAGCAAAAGGAAGGGGGGTGACAGGAAGGGGTGACAGGAAGGGGGAGAGGAAGGGGGGAGAGGGGACGGGGTGTGAGACAGTCTCACACAACTTCAAAGAGACTGCCTTAATTAACACTAGTTACAAACACTGATCAAAGGACGGACTTCAGAGGCTAATTCGATTATAGATCAAGGCTAATTAGATTGACATCAAAGGCCTATAACATGCCGGTGTGATATCGCACCGGCACGTTATAACACCTCACATCAAAGGACAGACATCAAGGGTAATTAGATTAGACAACAAAGGACAGACATCAAAGGGTAATTAGATTAGACAACAAAGGGTCTACTACAGGGGGGCATATCACACCTACACGCGATACCACCTCAACCCTCACATCAAAGGATATCACACCTAACTGTGATATCACACCTACATGTGATAACACCTCGAACAAAAGGGTCATTAGCATATCAAATGGGGTCATTAGAATCATTAGGGGGGGTGGTGACCTGTCACTTTTTATGCATACTAATGTGATGGAAACAGCATCCTTATAAGCCACAGAAACTGGCTGGAGCGCAGGCTCTAAGCGCATGCCTGTTACCATCTCACTGTAGGTCACAAATGTAATGTGTGTAGATCCCTTTATTACACGTGTCCTCGCCATCCATAGTCTCTAAAGAACTTATTTCACGTATATATGATATTTAGGCTCGCTGGTCTCATCATACAACGGAAATAAAAAAAGCACCAGGGGAGGCAGCCATAACCTCTGCCGCACTGAAGGGGGCGCACGTGAGCCCATAGGTTCTTGTTGCTACTGTTATTTTACGCAGAGACGATAGACGCAAACAACAAGCTAGACTTTTGAAAGTAGAGGAAGATAATTGGAGGACTTTTACAAAAAAGTAGTAGAGATTGTTGTCCAGAAGGATAGCATGGACTTCATCTTCAAGTCAAGGTAAGACCACAACTGTAATGAAAATGGGATCTTACTAAGAGAGAACAATCCAATATTTAAATGTTGGGTATCCTTTTGTTGAACGGTCTGTTTAAAATTAAACGAAACATCAGACTAAAAAAGCTTTTGAAAATAACAGAATATTTCGATTAAGGTCAAAATATAATATTTGTAAATCTGGCTCTGAAAGAGTCAGTGCCTCACCAGCCATGAACCTCACCACACGTCACTGGCAGTAGGTCAGTAAATACCCCACTTGTGGTTCAACAACGTATCAAACAACATTGGTTTACTTTCTTATCATTTCCCTTACCTTGTTATATTGTAAGATAACATGAGAGCTTTTGTCCAATACTATATAGTGCAGTTTAACACAGTGACAGTAGGCTACTTAACACAATGTAAAAAAGCACAATACATAATATGACCATCATTAATGATAAATACAAACTCCTGAGCTTTATTTATTTAAAAAAGAAGAAGAATTGGATATCTTTTAATTACACTGTTGAGGAACCTTTGACCTAAGTGTTTCATTCATTGCATATCTTCACCGTAGTAGTGTATATGACAATACATCTTTGAATCTTGAATCAAAAATTAACATATAGGTTACTTTAATACATTATCCATATTTTATACACTTCAGGTGATTTTTGAAGAAGTGAAGCTGCAGCTTTGAGGTCACATCACTCTTTGGAGGGTATCTGAACTCTTGGTAGAGCTTGGTGTCCTTGTGTTTAAGTCTGGCCTGATGGGAAACAGACACATGGCCACATGTTGCCACCATCAAGGAGCCCAGGCCATCCATAAAGAACTCTAGAGGCAGAGACAGACATTTGCCATTTAGGAAAAAAAAGCCAACTACGATCATGGACAGCAACAACTGAAAGAGTGTGGACTTACTGCCACTTGGACTGCAAACCATCTAGACCTACCTGAGTGTGCTACCCTCTTGAGCTGAGGGTCGAATCCCACCCTCTGTACGGCATCTGTACGAGCCAGGAAGAAGTTGACCACCCCACTGACCAATGAGCATTCTGGGTAACCAGGAAGAGAGCGGTACCTCCCTCTGGACTTCCTGTACATGCAGCCACCTTCCACTTCGTCTCCTTCCTCATAGATGAGAGAGAAATAAAACTGGTCTCCTTGTACTTTACCGCCAAGCTGAAAGGAAGAGAGAGACAAGAGAACTGCTTATAATCTTACTACCTGCTCATTGTGTACCTGCTGGAATAGGCTCTTGTTAACACATTATCAATCAATCAATCACATTTTGCAAACGGTGAGAGACATGCCCCTCCATTTGCGTAATGGTGATTTCAAAAACAAAAATAACGAACCAAATAATACTTCTGTTAACCTGTTACGCACGGCCCGCCCGGTACCGGGCGGAAAAACGCGTTATTTGCAGGAAACAACGTCTAAGGAATGTTAATATTTAATAAACTATGAATGTTTTATATCCATGTAACGGGAAGAAGCTCAGCTAAATGATCTTTTTAATTTTTTTTTCCAAAAAAAACCCCACAATGCTAACACTCAGCCTCTGAATTAGCCACGAGCGAAAATATTTAACCTGAAACGGCACTCCTAACTCCCTTATTACTTATCCTAGATGCACAGCCAACCACTCATTTTTGGTGTCCTGGAGACACAGAATCTAACGGTGCCCTCCACAACACTCAGTGATAAACATTCGCGACGCTATAAACGAAAGCGTACATCATAACATGTGGAGCTAAGTAGCTAGAAACGCTAACATGGCTTACCTTGGTCAAAACTGGTCTTCAATGGCATTAAAACGATAAAACGATGCTGCAGTTAATCCATAGGTTCATCCTATGTATCTGTGCCTTCTTTGAAATTATTTCTGATAATCCATAAGCAATAAAACTGCGTTTTAGTTTCCAAATGCCAGAGCTAGAATGTAGCTCCACTCAAACCTAGATTTTCAAACGCGAAGCCCTCACCTTTTCTCTTTACAATGTGTGTATGTGTGAGCCTCCGCCTTCGATTATATTGGCTCTAACGGTCAGAAGGGTGTGTCAAACCTCAAAATCGAGCAAGGTGAGCCAGAGATAGAGAAAAAAACCATTTTCACCCAAATCACCTCAGAGGTGGAGTGGTTTTGGCTAAACCTCTCTAAACAGGTCAAATGTCACTTGTTTTGCATCAATCTTGATACAGGGTACTTATTATATGTTGTACTTTGGATTCCTAAAGCTTTTAGTCTACTAACCCATCATCCAAGGGTAGTTTTCACTATCTGTAAAAAATAAATTTTGGACGGACACTATAATTTACAGTTTTTTACTATGTAAAATCTGAATTTTCTTTAAAATAAAAAACATTTATATTGATTCTGACACTTCTACATCCAACTGACAGATGTAACCTTGCTTTGATAAAAGAAATTATTCATATAACCCTTTTAGAAGTTAAGTTGTAGTCATTTCTTTTGGGCATGTCATTTTCGAGCCTGAAACATGAAAAACAGGCTAGGTGCTTAACAGGTTAAAAAAGTGCATTACATATTATATAAAACCCCAGGTCGTGGAACATTAACTGGGTATATGTACAACATATTCATTATTATTCACTAGGGGTGTAACGGTTCACAAACATTTCGGTTCGGTACGTACCTCGGTTTTTAGGTCACGGTTCGGTACGTTTTCGGTACAGCAGAAAAAATGATCACAAAACATGAAATATTTTTTGGGGGTTTTTAATTATTATTAAACTGTGAATAATGTATTCACTCAAATAAATACAAAATATAATAAAATAAACATTAAGGTGCAGCATTTCGATGAACTGAAATAATCTGTATTTGAACGTTACTGTACTAGTACTCACAAAATATAAAATATTTGTTTTGGGTTTTTAATTATTATTAAACTGAATATTCACTCAAATAAATACAAAATATAATAAAATAAACATTAAGGTGCAGATGAACTGAAATAATCTGTACTTGAACTGTACTGTACTAGTTTGACATTAGGACTTGCTTGCTTGTCATTGTATTTTCATGTTTTTTTTAAAGAAAAATTCATTTGTCCACATTGCTTGCCGAAAGGGCAGATCTGCTGGCACTAACAATGTCTCCTGCTGTGGAGAACACCCTCTTGCTAGGGACAGAGGTAGCGCTTTGCTAACATGGCACTGAACTTTTTGCGAGGCTTAACCTGTTACCTGGTACCGGGCGGATAAACGCGTCATTTGCAGGAAACAACGTCTAAGGAATCTTAATATTTAATAAACTATGAATGTTTTATAGTCGGTTATGTAACGGGAAGAAACTCAGCTAACTGATCTTTTTCATTTTTGTTTTAAAAAAAAAACCACAATGCTAACACTCAGCCTCTGAATTAGCCAGGAGCGAAAAATGCTAACCTATCACTGCACCTAAACTCACTCATAACTCCTTTATTACTTATCCTAGATGCACAGCCAACCCATCGATTAGCATCGCCTGGAGACACAGAATCTGGGGGTGCCCACCTCAACACTCAGTGATAAACATTTGCGACGCTATAAACGAAAGCGTACATCATAACATGTGGAGCTAAGTAGCTAGAACCCATAAGCAATAAAACTGCTTTTTTGTTTCCAAATGCCAGAGCTAGAATGTAGCTCCACTCTGCTTTACATTTACATGCGCACAGCCCCCACCTTTTCTCTTCACAATGTGTGTGTGTGTGAGCCTCCCCATTCGATTCTATTGGCTCTAACGGTCAGAAAGAGGTGTCAACCATCAAAATCGAGCAAGGGGGGCCAGAGATATAGAAAAAAAACCATTTTCACCCAAATCACCTCAGAGGTGGGGTGGTTTTGGCTAAACCTCTCTAAACAGGTCAAATGTCACTTGTTTTGCATCAATCTTGATACAGGGTACTTATTATATGTTGTACTTTGGATTCCTAAAGCTTTTAGTCTACTAACCCATCATCCAAGGGTAGTTTTCACTATCTGTAAAAAATAATTTTTGGATGGACACTATAATTTACAGTTTTTTACTTTGTAAAATCTGAATTTTCTTTAAAATAAAAAACATCTATATTGATTCTGACACTCTACATCCAACTCACAGATGTAACCTTGCTTTGATAAAATAAATTATTCATATAACCCTTTTAGAAGTTAAGTTGTAGTCATTTGTTTTGGGCATGTCATTTTCGGGCCTGAAACATGAAAAACAGGCTTGGTGCTTAACAGGTTAAAGAGTCAAAGTACAGGTTTGGCAAGACGGTGAGAAGGCCCCATTTACACGGGAACGCAAACAAACCAAATTCGATATAAAAAAAGTCTTCCGTTCACACGAGACCGCTCGAAAGCGCTGAAGACGCTATAGTACATATGCCAGGCCTGTAAGTGGCGCTGTACTTCCACCACAAAATACACCAAAAGCAGCGAAGAAGACCCCCCGAGCATGGTTGCCATGGTTGCCATTCTGTTTATGCTCCGTTGTGGATTTAGCAACATGTAGTTCATGTAGTTCTACATGTCCACTTGTTGCTGATGGTTGTGGTAGAGGAGCTGTAGATTTTGCACTAACATCTGTAGCATGGTCAGTAGCAGTAGTTACTGACAGTAGCTAATGACCATGCTACAGCTGTTAGTGCAACATCTACAGCTCCTCTACCACAACCATCCGCAACAAGTGGACATGGAGAACTACATGAACTACATGTTGCTAAATCCACCGCGGAGAATAAACAGAAGGGCAACCATGCAGGGAGGTCTTCTTCGCTGCTTTTGGTGTATTTTGTGGCGCCACTTACAGGCCCGGCATATGTACTACAGCGTCTCCAGTGGTCTCGTGTGAACGGACACGTTAAATGAGCCGAATGCGTGTGAACAGAAGACTTTTTTGATAACGAGTACCATGCTACAGCAGTGAGCAGCAGAGGTGGGGAGAGGTGCGGCTATGGCTTCATCGTTATCAGGAAATTATCGTATAGGGCGTACACACGGAGCCGTTTGGCCCCCCAGAGCGTTCCGTCCGCAGATCTATCCACCTTTGGACCCGTTATCGTTTGAGGGGTCCGTTTCCGCCGTTCCGTTACGGCCTTGTGTGAACGAACGGGCTATACGAAAGAGAAAAGTAGCGGATACAACCCATTTCGTTCCCGTGTAAACAGCGCCTAAACGACTGTACTGTGAGAAACTCCAACACCAGTTCATAGCTAACGACTTTAATCCAAAGGCCTCCCCCTCCTTGAACAACCGACACCTTGCATACGAGTTGAACCAGTTGTCGCTTTTAAGAACAATAGCCGCTTTCACACCAAGTACTTAGCCGGTACTTGTCCCCGGTACTTGTTCCCCCCGAACTCTTTAGTCCCTGGAACTGTCCTAGTAGATCGCGTTCTCACCTGAATAAGTACCCGAGGGAGGATTAGACAAATGAAGCCGCATTTATCTGTGACGTTCTGTTTGTGTAAGAATGTGTGGGGACTCTAAAAATGTCCTTTTAAGGGTTGAAATAGATCCTTAAAAAATGCTAAATGGGGCTGAAATGTTTTCATGTCATAATGAACTGTTGGAGTCATCTGAACAGGAAGTGGCTTTGTGCGTAACGGAGGAACATTTAATCACGGTTAACATGCATTAACTCTCCTTCCTCTTTCAGTGAGACGGTTTGCTGAAGTGTCTTTAACAGGAAACATGGTGAGGAACATTCAGACACGAGATGAAAGGACATAGAGACGTCATTCAGAGGGACATGGACATCATTAAAAAAGCTGTTTAGTTTAGAGAACGGGAAGAAGTACACAGATCCTGAGCTTAACTAAAAGACCACATCCTTTTGTTCTTAAATACTCTATTTGAATGCAAAGTCTTGTATTGAATTTGTTATTTAAGTAAAGAAGCATCAACAGCTTGTACTTTAAATATAAAAAGTACTCAGTATGCAGAATAACTATGATGTTATACTACAGTGTTTAATATAACGTACTGACATGTTAGCCCCCGTAGCACTACAGCCTGAGTACAAACATGTGTGTCCTTAGATACTCACTTGAAGGCAAAGTATTGTATTAAAAAAATAGCAGCAACTTTAAATATAAAAAGTAGAAGCGCTCAGTATGTTACATTACAGCGTTTATTATAACATGGTAACATTTGAGCCCCGATAAGATCAGATCAGATGGAACTTTATTTCAGGCGTTTATAGTCAGAGTTAAAAACAGGTACAAAATAAAGATAAATTAGAATTGAAAAGAATAATAATAATACAAATAAAGTGATAAAGTAACTGTTGAAACAGATATCACAGTAAAAAGTGGAGCATTTTAATGAACATGTTAAATATATTTACATTTAAGTGAGCAGACGTGAGTTCAGGTTGAAGTTTAGACTGTATTGTGCAGCCTGATGGCTACGTGTGTGTGTGTGTGTGTGTGTGTGTGTGTGTGTGTGTGTGTGTGTGTGTGTGTGTGTGTGTGCGTGCGTGTGTGTGTGTGTGTGTGTGTGTGTGTGTGTGTGTGTGTGTGTGTGTGTGTTTGTGAGGGGGGGGGTCGGTGGATCAGAGTGGCAGGTAACGCTCTCTGCGGCGATTAATGTCCTACCTACGCCTGGTTAATGTTGCGTGACATAAATAAATGTTTACTTTGAGTTCTCAGCTCTATTGCTTCTGCTACAACTTAATGTGTTTTGCAGTACTCGCCATGAACTGTTACTGCTCAGGCAAATCTCACACCAGCCTCCGACATAAATCTCTTTCGATGCAGTTCTCGGTTCCATCCCAGCAAATTGGTGGTTCCAAATGCAACCAGTAAATTGGGGCAGAGAGCCGGAAGAACTGGTTGGCAATTGGGCATCGTCTCCGAAACTGGCCCTGGAACCTCTTCGATGGAAAAGGGGATGAAAGTCTCACATGCTTCACAGCTAGTAGACACAACAAGTATTTAACCCAAGCGGAGCCCTTTAGAAACGAGCCATTTCAGTCTTACCACGTCCAGTTCTGGGACCGCCTCCATCACCTTCACCAGCTCTTCGATTTTGGTCAACTTGGTAAACAGGAAGTCATCGTCCACCCACAGGAAGTACTTGGTGGTGACCTGGGAGACCGCCAGGTTCCTGCCAGCAAACCAGCCCTGATGGAGGAAAGCATTATTCATGTTTTATTGGTAATTTTAGATGTTACGCCTCTTTGAGTTGCATTAGGCTTGTTCTCACATTACAGTGTGTACACGTTTTTGTTGGGGTGTGTGTGTGTGTGCGTGTGCGTGTGCGTGTGCGTGTGTATGTGTGCGTGTGCATGTGTGCGTGTGCGTGTGCGCGTGTGCGTGTGCGTGTGCGTGTGCGTGTGCGTGTGCGTGTGCGTGTGTGTGTGTGTGTGCGTGTGCGTGTGTGTGTGTGTGTGTGTGTGTGTGCGTGTGCGTGTGCGTGTGCGTGTGCGTGTGCGTGCGCGTGTGCGTGTGCGTGTGTGTGTGTGTGTATACCTTAGCTGGAGGCATGATGAAATGCTGGATGTGAGGTCCTGTAATTTTCTCTGGTTCCATGCTGTCATCTGCAATGATGATTTCAATGTCTTTGTAGAATTCTCTGATGGTTTTCAACAACACATTGAGTTCTGGGTAGCGCAGGAACGTCTTTGTGATGATGGTGACTTGAGAGTTGATATCTGACATATAGAGAAGAAGAGTTATTTCAAGAAAAGACACATGAAGACATCATGAGATCCACTGTCCAATGATCAAGAGCATCATTTGACAAAGAAGAGAAGCAGCTCCTTCCTGCCATAAATAAATGAGTGTGTTATCCCCACGGTGAGTGAACTCCCACCTTTTCCCATGTCGTACAGGACTGGAGGTTGAGGCTGTTTGATGGTAATGGGAAACACAGCTTCATGGTCCTCAAACTGGAAGGATGCTGAGAACAGAAGCACAAACACATTTCTCTAGATTAAATACACACAGACACAAACCTGTACAAAGCATCGACAACTTTATGATTTTGCAATTCTATTTAATTACATTTGCTCTAATAGGTCTTCTGTAATTTTGTGAATTTAATTCAGGCAAAGACATTTGTTCTAAATAAAGACAGACTTTTTCTAGTTTAGTTTTAATGTCTTAGATGCATACCGAGGTCTCCGGTGTGTATGTGGTAAATAGTGCTGTTATAGGACACATCAGCCAGCAGCTCATTGAGGGCCTCCAGGCTGCTGGACTCCACCATCAGTCGGCTCTCACCATTACCTGTCACTGTTTCCACAACAGAAAAGAAAGATCATTTTAAATGGCTACGCGTTACACTACGGCTACTTTAGATGGCTCTAAAAAGACAACAGCAAAGCAAATCAGTGTAATGGAAATCCACATGTCCAATGGAGATAATATCTAAGCCAAATGCAAATATTTGAAAGACTACAGCATGATTTGATTAATAGATGACAGTAGTCCTTAGGTCAATCGTTTGTAGTAATCACTAGTATGTTTGCGCTGGTATGACTTGCTCACTGTTAGACAATGCACAGAGTTTAGCGATGATGCATTTGATCCTACTTTTAATCTGGCCCTAAAATTAAGTACATACCTTACATATCCACTATTGTCAGATATTGTTTGCTCCTTTGTTTGTCAGGTTCAGTTAGATCTTACCTTTTACCTGCACTCCTTTAGCTGGAATAGTTGTTCTCAGGACTCCTTCCGACACTTCCAAGGAGACCTAGAGTCGACACATCTCAGTAAATCTTCAATCTATTTATTTTAACCAAACTAAATAACGTTATTTATGCTGGGCATCTTATCTATATATGAGGCAGTCCAGGAAAAGAAGTCAAGATGGAGAACAAGGTGGAACGAATAGAAAATAGAGAATGCAATTCCTGAAGAAATTGCTAGTGGGAATGCTTTATGCTGAAAAGCTGATGCTGAATTGTTATGCTAAAATGTAATGTGTAAGAAGAAAGTGAAGAATTTAGATTGAAATGATACATGAACACTGGGGGCTTGAATGTGTGATGAGTGAAGAAAAGAAAGTAAAAAGGCTTGGAAAAGCAGCAGAGTATTTGAACTGCAAACTTTTTAACTAACTTGATGGCGAATGATCTGTCGCCATGGCAACGGTATTTGATGACACCCCGTAATACACTTAGATGTGTTGATTGCTGCATCGTTACCAAACCTGTGAAGTTTTGAGCCGTTTGGAGCATTTTCATAGGAGTTATAGCAATAACGTGTTTTACGGCGAGGGATGCGTTGCTATGGCAACAGCTTTTGAGGAAAACTCACTAATGACACATAGACATGTTGAGGGCTGGACCATTAACCATCATCTGAAGTCTGGTGGTGTTTTGACCATTTTCATAGGAGTTACGACAACATCGTGTTTTATGGCGAGGGATTTCCGTGGAAACGGCATTTGGTGAGATCTCAGAATACGCGTAGAGCTGTTGAGGCATGGAGAGGTGATATACAAGTGAAGATTGGGGGACAATTGGACCGTGTCCATTGGAGTTACAGCAACATCGTGTTTTATGGCGAGGGATGCGTTGCCATAGTAACACCACATTACGTAACATCAGATTTGACGTAGAGCTGTTCAGTGTTAACCATCATGTGATGTTTGGTGGCGTTCTGAGCATGTCAGTTGGAGATATGACATCATCATGTCATATCTCCAACACACAGGTGTTTATGTTTGAGCTAACCACGTTATGAAACACCTGTGCTTGAGCCCAGAGATCAAAGGTTTCCATGGTGATGTGCAGTAATCAGCGAGAGGAGAGCCTTTCCATTGTTCTGAATGAGAGATAAACCTCTTACATGTGAACGTTTTGTTGAAGAACCGTAACAGATATCGGTGAAATGTCAACGCGTGAAGCATGTCAAGGACCCTGAGCATCTGAAGTGTACTTTTTGTGTACTTTCGGGTCAATAATTTGGCCTTTTTGGCAGATTAACTAAAGGTGTGCAGCTGCTGCTGTGAGGAAAGATCAGGCTGAATTTAGAATGGGCCTTAAGGGAGACATGTTGAACGTTTTTGTCACTTCATGCCCTCAAGAGGCATTTTGCTTAATTATTTTTGCCTAATCTTTTTTTATTTTCCAACCTAAGAGAGGTCTTTCATGAAAAATGATGTCTCAGGAGTGTAGGGTTTGGGAATTATGGCAGGTTTAAAAAAAATATATGAAGGCGAATTTCAAGCTGTCCTGAGATTTCTTACACTCTAGCTGTGACATCACGCACTCTAGTTAATGTTAAAATCTGAAGAAAGCCTCTTTACCAAGGTCTGAACCATGTTTAATATTTCTAAAAGTATGAATCTGATTTAAAAGTTGTCTTACACGAATAATGTCAGAAAGATGTGTAACATTTTAAAGTTGGAATGAGGTTTCTGAGTGAAAGTATGAATGAACAGTTAGCAGTTGAAGTCGCATGAAGATTTTTCAAGTCTGAAGAGTTTCTCCATTGACTTCCATGTTAAAAATGTGATGAATTATGGGATGTATCTCTGGAATTATGAAAGTTATGAATGAGAAAAGTAATATCGATCGATTCCCGACCGAGCTGAACTTTTTGATGTTTGAACGGAGTTTCTGCGATGTTGAATGTGGGAGCAGAAGAGGCGCAAAATAACCCGGCGGAATCAAAATAATAAAGAATTTGTGCGTAGAAGAACAAGTAGTTGGAATGCTGTATCAGCATTCTCACTAAAATAGATATATACTTTTGCGTTCTCATCACACACTTCTTTTTTTAGCATTCCTTCACACAGGATTTCAGGTAGAAAAACGAGGTCAATATACTTAAAGGTCAGTTAGGCTCCATTGAAACAACAATGGAGAGCACTGACCCAACACAGAGCTTCATAGTTATAGTTACAGAAAACCACCTTTGTGTGCACTACCATTGATTTGGATGCCATTTGAGAGAATTGGCATGGACCTCATCTGGTTATTAGACCGGAGTGCACATGCTTTGTATTATTCCTCGTAGGTAATGCAATGTGATATCCCAGGGCGGTGCCGCTGCGTATTATCCCTGCCAAGAGTCTTGTGCAGGTACTGTTTCATACTATTTATGGATCCAAAAAGATATGTTGACCAACCAAGATCCTTTATTTCACGCACAATACGCAAGCTGTTTACATTACTGGGCGTTCACTCAATCTGGACTAGTGGTTACCATCCACAGACAGATGGGCTGTTGCCACAGTTTATTAAAACACTAAGGAACTTGTTTGGTCAGTTTGATCACAAAGAGATTTCGAACAATACGGGAGGTTCCCCATGATCCATGGGGTTTTCCCCAATTTGAACTGTTGTTCAGGGTATCCTGAACCTTGTTAAGGACAACTAGGAAGAGGGTCTAAGTTTCGGACCTACGAGCAAACCTCTATTCTCTTGGGCAGTTATAATGGGAGAATTTGCTTTAATTCATTAAGAGTTGGTACGATCTGATAGGGTTGGTGGAATTGAGAATACCCACCTAATGCCCTGAAGCAAGGAGGAAGGTTGCATCTGCCTCTCTTGCCAAGGCGATGAACAAGAGAAATGAGTTGGGACCGGTGTTAAAAAGCAAACAAATCAGTCCTGGTCTTTTGTAATGACCATCTCTCACTGGACCAGGAAGCAGACATTGCGTCGTTCGGCCGTACAACTGCCTATGTTATCCATCAATGACTGATTTCGCCCTTTCGTTCTGGTACGCACGTCCAAGAGGTCAATCCAGGTCTGTATGGACTATCTCAGGGTTAGTGAGGCATCGTTAGGTTATTCAAAGCTTACCCAAATCAGTTTGTCAAACTCCTGGATGGGAACGACTCCCCCTGTCTCCACTGTCTAACGAAAACCGGGCTTATCTGGCCCTCTGTGGGAAACCACTTTAGTTTTGTAGACCAATGCCCTAAACAGTTGGGTTGGGGGTTGTTTTGTCCCAGGAGGTAAAGGGGGGAGAACACCCGGTAATGTACATTAGCCGGAATCTGGCTCACCAAGAGATGAACTAGAGAACAGTGGACAAAAAAAAAGTGCAATATGGTAGCTGACCCACTGCGAAATACCTGATTGGACGCCCATTCAGCTTCTAGTTTGACAACGCTTCACTCCAGTGGCTCCACCACATAAAGAGGCCAATGCCGGATCACTTATTTGTATCTAGCTTTACAGCCACGTTGACTTAAAGGCTTAATAGGGCAAGCAAGAACCCTCACAAACAAAACAATTATACGGTAAAAATCATACTTTGACTTTTAGGTTTAAGACGGTAAGTTGAAACCCAATCAAATTGTATTCACACTTGGCAAGAAATATTGGCTTTCAAAACCCACTTGCACCATTTAGCAGTTTCAGGAGCTGTACCAGATATTTGCAGTAAGGTTTCTGCCCCTCTCCCAAAGGTTTACACCAAGATGGCTGCTGTGCAACGTAATCTATGAGAATATAATTGCAAGTAATTTGAATGCGACTAATATGACAGACCCTTGCCTTCACAAACATACAGTATTGTTATTTGTATGTTTTTTTTCTAATGTGTCATTTACATGAAGTATTGAATAATGTAATACTTTCAATGTGTTTTACATGTTTTATACATATTATACACATTATATAAACACCCAGCAGCCATCTTGTATGAACCGGCCAAACACTAGCCCAGGTTTCTCTAAAAGCTGTGGATCAGCTGAATCTGTGGGATCACACCAACCGTGTAGTTGCTTCTTTGTTCTGCATGCACTGCTAGACCTGAAATCAAAATGAAATGTGCTTTCATACTCTTCATTTACACAAGTACACTCATTCACCTCTGGCTTTGTTGACCCTTGACACATAATGCAAATATATGAGGGCGTGATCAAACCAAACCAAACATCCCCTCCGTGTCTAACTAGTTCCTGAGTCATACATCAATATTTGTTTACTGTATTTTAAACACAGCCTTCTGTTGTGTCACAATGAGAGTAATGAAAGGACATACTGTACGGTGTAGCATACCTGGGATGAAGGTGGGGGTCATAGGTCGTACTTTGAAACCCTGGATAGGGTACTGCAGGGGAGAGTTAGACGGAGCATACAGCCGTGTGGATAACACAGACTCAGTCCTGTTGGGGAGATAGGATGGTTAGTAGTGAGGATGAGGTAAAGTCAAAGTCAAAGTCAGCTTTATTGTCAATAATTCTACATGTTGTACATCCAGAAATATCGAAATATCGTTTCCTTGGGGGGCCCCCGTGCTCAGTATGAGGGTGTCTGAGGTGTTATTGTTGACCCGTACAGCTTGTGGTCTCTCTGTGAGGAAGTCCAGCAACCAGTTGCAGAGAGAGGGGCTGAGGCCCAGGTCTGTACGTTTTTGTACAAGCTGCTGGGGGATGATGGTGTTGAATGCTGAGCTGAAGTCTATGAATAGCATTCTGACATATGGGTCCTTAGTCTTAGTCTTAGTGTTAGTGTCCAAGTGTGTGAGGGCTGGGTGGAGAGCGGAGGAGATTGCATCCTCTGTGGACCGTTTAGCTCGGTAGGCAAACTGAAACGGGTCCAGCGATGGGGGGAGGGTGGATTTGATCTGCTTCATGACCAGCCTTTCGAAGCACTTCATGATGTGGAAGTTAGTGCGACGGGGCGGTAGTCGTTGAAGCCGGATGGAGATGACTTATTTGGCACTGGAATGATGGTGGTTTCCTTGAAGCACGAGGGAACAACAGCCTGGCTCAGGGAGATGTTAAAAATGTCTGTGAGGACATCTGTGAGCTCTTCCGCGCAGTCCTTCAGCACACGACCAGGAATGTTGTCAGGTCCTGCAGCCTTGCGGGAGTTAATCCTCAGCAGTGTGCTCCTCACACTGGCTGGTGAAAGACGCAAAGCCTGGTCGTCGGTGGGGGGGGTTGTTTTCTGCACAGGTGTGTTGTTCTGTGCTTCAAAGCGTACAAAGAAGCCGTTGAGGTTGTTGAGCAGGGAGGTATTACTGTCACAGGTCTGTGGCGGTAGTTTGTAGTCCGTTAGGGTCCTTATGCCCTGCCACAGGCTCCGTGAGTCCCTGCTATCTTTGAAATGTCCTGTAATTTCTCGGGTGTATTCTTGTTTTGCTTTCCTGATGCCACGGGACAGGTCAGCCCTGGCTGCTTTCAGCCCAGCTGGATCTCCAGCTCTGAAGGCGATGTTGCGGGCCTTCAGCAGCGTGTGGACCTCCCCTATCAGCCATGGCTTCTGGTTAGCCCGGATGGTGATGGCTCTGTTTTGTGTCACATCGTCAATGCACTTGGTGATGTAGCCCGTGACTGTCTCTGTGTATTCTTGTATGTCGGTGTGATGGTTGTATGTGGCTGCCTGCTTGAACATGTCCCAGTCTGTAGTGTCAAAGCAGTCTCTGAGCTGTGCTGTCCTCTGACCACACCCGAACCTGTTTTGAAACCGGTTTGGTGGCTTTTACCCTGGGTCTGTAGGCCGGTTCCAGCAGAACAGTGAGGTGGTCAGAGAGGCCGATGTGGGGGAGGGGGGATGCCTTGTATGCTCCCTTGATGTTGGTATAGACCAGGTCTAATGTGTTTTTCCCCCTGGTTGGAAAAACAACATGCTGATATATTTTAGGCAGCACAGTTTTTAAGTTAGCGTGGTTGAAGTCTCCAGCTACGATGAGTAGGCCGTCTGGGTGTGCTGTCTGTTGCTCACTGATGGCTCTGTACAGTTCACAGAGTGCCTCCTCTTTACCCTCGCTACTGGGGTTAGGCGGGAGGTAAACAGTCGCCACAAGAATCGCTGTAAGCTCCCTCGGCAGGTAAAAAGGACGGCATTTTAGAACCATAAATTCCACCAGTGGCGAGCAGTGTTTGCTAACAACAACAGTGTCTCGGCACCAAGCGTCACTGATGTACACACACACACACCGCCGCCGCGAGTCTTCTTTCCCCCATTATCTTTGTTCCTGTCTGCTCGGTAGCATGTTAGCATGTTAGCTTGTCTAGCTGAATAGCGGAGTCAGGGATGTTGTTGTGGAGCCATGTTTCCGTGAGCACGTAAACACAGCAGTCTCTCACCTTTCGCTGGGTTGATCGTAGCAGGCGTATGTTGTCTATCTTGTTATCCAGTGAGCGGACATTTGCCAGAAGTAGTGATGGAATTGCCGGCTTGTGTGGGCTAGCCTCTAGCCTAGCCCGGATACCTCCACGTTTCCCCCTCTTCTGCTTCCTCTCACATCGTCGGCGGCGTCTCCTTTCCGGGTGGGGCTCGACGCGAGACGGGTAGCAGAGGAGCTCCAGGCGGCTGAGTTCCTCTACGAGTTTAGCTTCCAAATTGAAGAAAGTTGATCTTCTTCCAAGAAGAAACTCACAGCTGTATTGTTGTCCTTTACGGTATAAGTCCAACGGAGACGACGAACATAGTGACAAACTCGACAGATCTGACGAACAAGACGAAAACACTGTTTTTTCTAGACCGCGAGGGGCCGCTGCGACTGCTCGCGCCGCCATCTAGTCTTAAAGGCTTAAAACATTGGCAGGACTTATACTTGTAATAGAGTATTCCTACACTCTGGTACTTTTACTACAAGATCTGAGTACTTCTTCCACCTCTAGTAGAGCACGCATTAAACAAGTGTTTTAAGGTTAAAGAGCGACTGAACAATAAGTCAATGGAAAGCAGCCACTCCCTACCTGGCTTTGTGTTGTTGCAACTCCTTTGCTCTGCGTTTTAACAGCTCCTCTGAATCTGGAGGCAAGAAGTCTTTGAGTTGCGCTGAACCTGGAGAACAGGTGCATGCCGTCTTTGAGGGAAGTTGATTCCTGGCTAGCAACCTGTCAAGTTAGGGGTTACATGGAAGACCTGAGGTTAACATCTGGTTTGACTTCTGTGTCATATTCCTCATCCTAATCCCCATCCCTTGATCCCTCCCTCCCTCCCTCCCTCCCTCCCTCCCTCCCTCCCTCCTTTCATGCATCCCTTAATTCATCCTCCCATCCCTTTCTCAGTGCATCCCTTCCTCCCTTCCTCCCTTCCTCCCTACAACCTTTCATCCCTCCCTTCTTGCATTATCTTCATCACTAGACCCCTTCATTCTACCTTCCCTTCCTACATCCCTTCCTTCATTGCCTTTGCATTTAGCTGAGGCTTTTATCCAAAGCGACTTACAATAAGTGCATTCGACCAAGAAGATACAAACTTGAAGAAAACAGAATCCTATAAGTACATCATGTTTCATAGAGCCAAAACATTTCAAGTGCTACTCAACTAGCTTTCGATAAGCCAGTCCTTTATTAGTAAGTGCTTTGTTAGTAATTCTATTGCTCGAAGTGGAGTGGAAAGAGATGAGTTTTCAGTCTGCTCTGGAAGATGTGTAAGCTTTCTGCTGTCCTGATGTCAATGGGGAGCTCATTCAAACCCACGTGTTTCTGCTGATGGGAACTTGGGTCCCCCTCGCAGTGCGGGTGCAGCGAGCCGTTTGGCCGATGCAGAGCGGAGTGCACGTGCTGGGGTGTACAGTTTAACCATGTCCTGGATGTAGGAAGGGCCAGATCCATTCGCAGCATGGTACGCAAGTACCAGTGTCTTGAAGTGGATTCTAGCAGTTACTGGAAGCCAGTGAAGGGAGCGGAGGAGCGGCGTGGTGTGGGAACATTTAGGAAGGTTGAAGACCAGACGAGCCGCTGCATTCTGGATGAGCTGCAGAGGTGGGATGGCACATGCAGGTAGACCAGCCAGGAGGGAGTTGCAGTAGTCTAGGCAACCCTTCCTTCCTACATCCTTTCCTTCATTCACTCTGGCATCCATCCATCCATCCCTTCCTACATCCCTTCCTTCATTCACTCTGGCATCCATCCATCCATCCCTTCCTACATCCCTTCCTTCATTCACTCTGGCATCCATCCCTCCCTTCCTACATTCCTTTCTACGAACATCCCTTTGAATTTCAACCCCTTCCTTTTTTAATCGCTCCCTTCCTACCTCCCTTTATCCATTAATCCCTTCCCTCTTTCCCCCCTTCCGTACTTCATCCCTCACTCCCTTCATCCCTCACTCCCTTCATCCCTTCCTCACTCCCTTCATCCCTCACTCCCTTCATCCCTTCCTCACTCCCTTCATCCCTCACTCCCTTCATCCCTCACTCCCTTCATCCCTCACTCCCTTCATCCCTTCCTCACTCCCTTCATCCCTCACTCCCTTCATCCCTTCCTCACTCCCTTCATCCCTCACTCCCTTCATCCCTCACTCCCTTCATCCCTCACTCCCTTCATCCTTCCTTTCTCCCTTCATCCCTCACTCCCTTCATCCCTCACTCCCTTCATCCCTTCCTCACTCCCTTCATCCCTCACTCCCTTCATCCCTTCCTCACTCCCTTCATCCCTCACTCCCTTCATCCCTTCCTTTCTCCCTTCATCCCTCACTCCCTTCATCCCTTCCTTTCTCCCTTCATCCCTCACTCCCTACATCCCTTCCTCACTCCCTTCATCCCTCACTCCCTTCATCCCTTCCTCACTCCCTACATCCCTCACTCCCTTCATCCCTTCCCTCACTCCCTTCATCCCTCACTCCCTTCATCCCTTCCTTTCTCCCTTCATCCCTCACTCCCTTCATCCTTCCTCACTCCCTTCATCCCTCACTCCCTTCATCCCTCACTCCCTTCATCCCTCACTCCCTTCATCCTTCCTTTCTCCCTTAATCCCTTCAAACCTTTACCCTTCCTTCTTTCATATCTTTCTCCCTTCATCCCTCACTCCCTTCATCCCTTCCTCACTCCCTTCATCCCTCACTCCCTTCATCCCTTCCTCACTCCCTTCATCCCTCACTCCCTTCATCCCTCACTCCCTTCATCCCTTCCTTTCTCCCTTCATCCCTCACTCCCTTCATCCCTCAACTCCCTACATCCTTCCTCACTCCCTTCATCCCTCACTCCCGTCATCCCTTCACTCACTCCCTTCAATCCCTCACTTCCCTTCATCCCTTCCTTTCTCCCTTCATCCCTCACTCCCTCATCCCTTCCTTTCTCCCTTCATCCCTCACTCCCTACATCCCTTCCTCACTCCCTTCATCCTCACTCCCTTCATCCCTTCCTCACTCCGTCCTCACATCCTCAATCCTCACTCCCTTCATATCCTTGCCTCACTCCTTCATCCCTCATTCCCTTCAATCCCTTCTTTCTCCCTTCATCCCTCACTTCAGCTCTTCATCCTTCCTTCACCTCGCGCGTTCATCCCTCACTCCCTTCATCCCTCACTCCCTTCATCCCTCACTCCCTTCATCCCTTCCTTTCTCCCTTACATCCCTTCAAACCTTTACCCTTCCTTCTTTCATATCTTTCTCCCTACATCCTTTTATCCATCTATCCTTCCCTTGCTAAATTCCTTTATCTATTGTTCTCGCCCTACATCCCTTCGACCATTTATCCCTTCCTCTCTTCCCTCACTCCCTTCCTACATTCCTTTCTACGAACATCCCTTCGAATTTCAACCCCTTCCTTTTTCATCGCTCCCTTCCTACCTCTCTTTATTCATTCATCCCTTCCCTCTTTCACCTCTTCCACCCTTCACAGACAGTAAAACCTGTAAGAGGGGGAAGTAGTTCATAATAATAATAATAATAATACGCATAATGCGTGGAAGACCTAAATTGGGACAAAGTGTCTAATCTTTTCGACATATCTAACATTAGCTGTCCAGATGCCAACCATGCATGTCTCTATTGCGATTAACAGGCGAGAACTAAATTAGTGATGTCATAGATCATGTGACAACAGGACCAGGGGTGTAGTGCTGCCGGAGCGCACCGGAACGCCGCTCTGGCACTTCAAATACTGCAGTACCAATAAGGAGCCGTACACATGCTGCAGTTTTTGCGTGGCTGTGTCTTTAGTTGAAAGCCCAGTGGCGATCTGTTCATCTGTCATATGATCATAAAATAACGCCATCGAAAATAATATGCTACATTACAGTACAAGTACTTCTGGGTCTCTGTGTGTCATTCAAGCTCGGCTGTGTGTGTGTGTGGCACGAGCGCATTTTCTGTGAGTGCGCTAGCGAGCGAGAGAGAGAGCGCACCGGTGCCGGGGATTGTTGTTGTTAGCATCTGGTTAGCTAGCTATGCTAACGGATATAAGGAGCTGTTTCCACAACATCTACTGTCAGACTGAGAGGCTCTGATAACTACAGCTCAGTGACGTAAGGACTCTGAGTGTTTAGATAGTTCACTTTAGTCTAAGTCATCTCAGTCTCAATCGATCATTACTTATACAAATAGCACTACACCCCTGAACAGGACATTGAGTCATAGTGCCAACCAATGATAACCGAAACCCAGCCTCATGTCGCCCACACACACACACGCACGCACGCACGCACGCACGCACGCACGCACGCACGCACGCACGCACGCACGCACGCACGCACGCACGCACGCACGCACGCACACACACACACACACACACACACACACACACACACACACACACACACACACAGAATTGGATACTTTACCTCTTTGTATGTTGTGAGGGAAGTGGGTTGGCTTCAGGACCTCCAACAATTCCATTTAAATACAGATATGAAAGAACACACACCAACACACACCCAAGAGTAGCAGTCTGAAGTTTTGTTACAGTACAAAGAGCCATCTGTAGAATGTAGAAACAAAAAGGTTCAGTGAGAGGAATGTATGATGCCAGTAAACAAGAAGTAGGTCAACTGTCCATGTCAGACATGACACTTGCTAACCTCACTAACCCAGACAAAACAGAACAGAACTGAGGCGCCTCATGTGACAAAAACACCAAGAAAGTGTCATCACTGGATAAAATGACATTATAGTTGACTGTAGTATAAAAGAAACCTTTATTCGTAACAGTGTTTTTCCTACGGTATAGTGCAGATTAATAATATAGTGTAATGTGAGGCTGTGAACACGGTCAGATCAGTGTTTCCATCAGAATGTGTGTGTAACTTCATGTGGCCAAGTTAAAAAAACAAGGCCTCACATTAAGAGTGTTCATGTCAAACTGAAAGGCCACCTTTAGTAGGTTCAGGTAAACTATTCTTCACAATATCTGAAGTTAATGAGGTCCGAAGTTACGATTACGAGTAAAAACTCCCCTCTCACGTGCTGGAAAACTAACAAGGTCAAGTGTCGGTCAATGTCGTGACCATGGACACCTGTAAGTCAAATCAAGTTTTATTTTTATTTATATAGCACATTTAAAAGCGATTTTTGGTCGAGCCAAAGTGCTGTACATGTAATAAAAACACATTACTACAATCACAATAAAAGACAATAAATTACAACAGATATATATAAAAATAAAAATAAAACACAAGGAAAAGTCAGGAGTCGTGCTCCGCTCTAACTAGAAGGCCAGAGAGAAGAAGTGTGTCTTTAGTGTTGATTTAAAAACCCCTAGGGTCTGGGCCGACCTCACATGGAGGGGCAGAGTGTTCCAGAGCCTAGGGCCAGCTGCTGCGAAGGCTCGGTGCCCTCAGGTTTTAAGCCTGGTCTTGGGCACTACCAGCAGCAGCTGGTCAGCAGACCTTAAAGCTCTGGCTGGGGTGTAGCGCTGGAGGAGTTCAGCTATATAGGCCGGAGCCAGCCCATTTAGGGCTTTGAAAACAAATAAAAGGATTTTAAAATCAATTCTGAGCCGAACTGGAAGCCAGTGTAGTGAGGCCAGAATAGGGGTGATGTGGTCACGCTTTTTGTGGCCAGTCAGCAAACGTGCAGCTGCGTTTTGGACTAGCTGCAGGCGTCTAATTGAGGCCTGGTCCATACCCACATACAGAGCGTTACAATAGTCCAGTCTTGAGGTAACAAAGGCGTTAATAACCCTTTCTAAGTCATTAAAGGGAAGCGTAACATGTATGTTAATATTCGGGTGGTTTACCAGCCTTCACCTCGGTCAACCAACAAGAAGGCTTTGGCTATAAAATGCAAATACAACATTTGTGTATCAATACAATCCCGGGATCTTTTGCATCGCACTCTGTCTGCCTCCAGCACTTCTTCTGAACCTGTTAGTTAATTTTAATGCTGCAGAAAATAAGCCATGAAGTTAAAAGTGTTGAGAAAGATGTCCGGGCTTCGATCTCTTCCAACAACTGGAACATGCAATAACCAGTTTTTTAAAGCTGTACACTAAATGTCATCGATTCTTATCCACACACCGCGCCCTATTAACACGGCCAAAGTGTTTCCTTACAAGTGTCCAGCAGTGGAGATCTTCGGGAAGCCTGGAGGGGAATCAAATCAATGTCCTCCATCTCCCAGGGTAACAACAATGACAGGGCTCGGAATCCTATTAGCATTGAGGGAACAAATGAGGCAGACCTCCCCAATGCTGAAAACATTTTCTATTCTCGATTCGAGAAAAATGATTTCTCCATAAACACCTCAACCCTCAGAGAGTCTCTCTCCCCTATCTCAGACATAGTCATTGAACAGGATGATGTTAGGAATCTCTTCAAACGAGTCAACATTAAGAAGGCCCCAGGCCCAGACCATATCTGTGGGCGTACACTCCAGTATTGTGCTAGCAAACTCTCTGGTGTTTTCCAGCATATCTTCCAACTGTCACTTGAGAATAGCCAAATTCCTGATATGTGGAAATCCTCAACTGTAATTCCCATCCCTAAGAAACCTCATCCTAAAGTCCTAAACGACTTCAGACCGGTGGCTTTAACGTCATTGGTAATGAAAATGTTTGAGAAGATTGTGAAAGGCCTTGTGATGTCAGTAGTAGGTGGTGAACTTGATCCTCTCCAATGTGCGTATCAGGCAGGGAGAGGCGTAGAGGATGCAAAGCTTCTAACGGTACGTCTACACAGCAGCGTTAAAAAGATCTTGGAGGTGGGCGTATCTGAAGCTTGGGGATTTTTTGCGAACAACCAATCACATGAATCTCCCTGGATATAAACTCCCCAAAACAGGCGAAAACATACCACTGTCTCTGCCACCTCCCTCCATGCCTGGCTCCTCCGGTTTATATCCCGGTAGGACTGGTCATAAAGCACCGGGCGATTCCCTACCGCTAATTTCTCCTCCATTTTTTGGAATATGAGGAAATGACCTGCGGTATGTCTCTCCCAGCATACACGCCGTTTGATTGGCTAGAGCTTGAACTGTCAGATTTGCGTACACGGGATTTGATTGGCTGACGCTTCCACCTCAGCCTCAAAAGTTGAGCATTGTTCAACTTTGAATCCTGAAAATCCTGAAAATCTCCGCTCGCCTGCCCACAATGCATTTCGGCGAAAAGTGAGGGAAAGTGACGTCACCCCATTCAAAGTGAATGGGCAGAAGCGTTTCAAGATTTTTTTAACGCTGCTGTGTGGACGGTCCGTTATACTGCACACCCTCCACAAACACCTTGAAAAGCCACAAGCCCACGCTAGGCTTTTGTTTGCTGACTTTTCTTCAGCATTGAACACAATGCAGCCGCATCTCCTGGTGGAGAGCCTGTCATGTCATTTTAAACTGCCCGGTCAACTTGTTTTATGGATTTTAAACTTTCTAACTAATAGAGAGCAGAAGGTGTCTGTCAATGGACGCCTATCAAGCTCTTCCTTAGGTTACTCCGAGACTAAGGCCAGAGCATATTGACATTTTCATCTTATGCAGATTTTATTCAAAGTGGAACCCAAATGAAGTTCCAGTGGATCCACTCAGGGAAATATCCTGTAGAAGAATAGACTAATATAAAAACAGCTGAGGCCCAAGTGATATCAAAAATAAGTTAATACTGGAAAAGGATTTACAATGTTGATTTAACATTTGATTCCCTGCTTCTTCCTGTAATATTAAAACCACCTGAATATGTTTAGAGAGCGAGGCAATAAATGCACCAAACACAATATCCATATATTTGCGCTTTGGGCACCAGGAAAAGCGCTTTATAAATGTAATGTATTATTATTATTACCAAGAACTTTAATGCTTGCAAAAGTAAGTGAGCAACACTGGAGAGTAAGGTTCAGATGCCCTGTCCTCACTGTGCAGCTCCTTCAGCGACAGGCTGCTGCACCCCCGCTGTCTCACGGAGAGATACCGCAGGTCCTTCAGCGACAGGCTGCTGCACCCCCGCTGTCTCACAGAGAGATACCGCAGGTCCTTCAGCGACAGGCTGCTGCACCCCCGCTGTCTCACGGAGAGATACCGCAGGTCCTTCCTTCCTGCAGCGGTCAGACTATACAACCAGCACAGCTGTTTTCTTCCTGTATGTTCCTGCCTGTGTACGTGACACAAGCTGCTGCTCGTAACCAATTGCCCCTTGCAGGATTAATAAAGTTGTTGATTGATTGTCCACACAGATTTTCCCTGGAAATGTACAAGACTCTGTGTATCCTTGTACTCTATGTACTCCAGGGGTGTCAAACTCAATTTCATCACGGGCCACATCAGCATTATGTTTGCACTCAAAGGGCCGGTTGTAACTTTAAGACTATATCATTAATTAATATAACTTCATAATTAACTACGTCTGAAAGCAGAAGTCTAGAGCAAATAATTGCAAGTCTCTTCAGTAAGAATGTCACAATATGATTTTAAAAGAAAAGCCACATTCTGGAAAAACATTGATTGTGACATTTTGAAAAAGAGGTGACATTTTGAAAAAAAAATCTATTTATGAGAAAAAGGCTAATTCTAAGAAAAAAGGCATATTTGGACAAAAAAAAGTCAAATTCTGAGAAAAAGTCAAATTTGAGATGCATTGTGGGACATGTCGTTTATGGGCAACGTGCTTCTGTAAAGTAGCATGTAACCGTATAATAAACATATTATATTCTTTGCAAGCTCTTGTGGGGCCACATGAAATGAAGTCGCGGGCCGGATTTGGCCCCCGGGCCTTGAGTTTGACACCCCTGATGTACTCTATGTACTGTGTATCCTTGTACATAGAGTACAAGGATACACCCCGGCAACAATTATAATATTATTATAATTTCAAGACAGTACGTTACATGTGTTGTAAAAAGATTTGTGTCAAGCACCTGTAATGCTGACAGAGTGCAGCGCCTTCACCTTCACCTTTTTGCCGCTGCTTTCAATTGAACTATTCACATCTTAAACTGCACTGTAACTTTTATTCATGTATTTTTTTCTTTTAATGTTTATTTTATTATCTTTGCTGTGATGACTGTTTTGAAATGCCATTTCCTTAATGTCTTTCATTTTTGTAAAGCACTTTGAATTGCCTTGTGTTGAAAGGTATATACATTTTTAGCCTTAAATATAGAAGTGGCAAAGGGTCAACAGGTCATGGTGGTGGGCTGTTACAGACCCCCCTCAGCTGTCAAGGACTCCTTGTCTTCACTAGCAAAACTTTTATCACAACCAGACTATAAGGAGATAGTGCTACTTGGAGATTTGAACTGGGACTGGTTAACTGCAGTATCAGAGGATTTTAAAAACCTTTGTATCTCTCTGAATGTTACTCAGATTGTTGACAGTCCTACTCGCCCTAACGTTAAGTCCCCTAATAAATCCTCCCTAATTGATCTCATTCTAACTAATGTTCCCTATAAATGTTTTGTTTTGTTTTGTAGCCTTTATTTATCCAGGTTAAAAATCCCATTGAGATCAACGATCTCTTTTACAAGGGAGACCTGCGGTACATTGAGTTACACATATAAAAACAAACAGAAAACAAAAGGACATCACAACATAATTACAGGGGTATACATTAGCATCTATTTACATTTACAGGTATCCAATAATATTTCATCCAGTCGTGCTTTAAAACGATGCAAGGGAATCAAAATGCTGAGTTTCAATATTTTTTGCATGGTGTTCCAAGCCAGAGGAGCAGCGCACATAAAAGCTTTAGCACCTAAAACAGTCCTTGCACTTGGCACATGTAATAAAAACACATCCTGTGATCTCAGGCAATAGCTACTTGCCACTCTCCGTGAGATCAAGGAGCAGATATAAGAAGGTAGTTTACCCAGCATGGCTTTGTAGATGAACATGTACCAATGACTGAGCCTCCGACCAGTTAGTGAAGGCAGACCTGCCTTGGCATACAGGGTACAGTGATGAGTAAGTGCTTTACAGTTAGTAACAAATCTCAGAGCACTGTGATAGGCGGCATACCCATCTGTGGGAGTATTTGCAAATGATGTGAGTGACCACTGTGCTGTAGCCACAATTAGGGACACTAAGGTCCAAAAGGTTAAACCCCGTATTATTATTAAGAGACACATAAAACATTTTGTGGAGCAGGGTTTTGTTCATGATCTGTTTGGGTTTGATTGGGGAAAAATCGATCTGTGTGCTGATGTTGAAACTGCATGGTCTTATTTTTATCTTGGTTTTATGGAAATTATAGATAAACATGCACCCCTACGTACTTTTAGAGTAAAGGGACGAGACAATCCTTGGTTTCCTGCTGAACTGTCCAGTCTCCTACATGAGAGAAACAAGGCCTGGGCAAAGGCTAGGAAATCAGGCTCAGAGGTTGAATGGCTGCGTTTTAGGCAGCTAAGAAATAGCTTCACTTCACATGTCAAAAGTGCTAAGTCGAAGTACTATTTGTCAGTTACTACAGAAAACCTAAATAATCCTAGGAAATGTTGGAAAGCCATAAAATCGCTATCCACCGGTGAGATCCGAAATGAGCTACCTCCGTGCATTACCACAGCATCTGGCTCTATATCGGACAGGGCTACTATGTTACATTGTTTTAATGAGCATTTTGTGTCCTGTGGCTCTCTGTTTGATTCTGTGACTAATTCTGCTACTGTGAACACCACAGTCTGTGACTCTGAACAATGTGGTCTGGAAAACACTTTCAGTTTTACTCCTTTTACTGTAAATGTTGTTCATGAAGCTTTATCTAAGTTAGATCCTAAGAAACCGGCTGGCCCGGACAACGTGGAACCTTTCTTTTTAAAGATAGCTGCAGAGTTTATTGCTCCACCTCTCACTACTCTTTTTAACCTCTCCCTCAGCACAAATGCAATTCCTAAAGTATGGAAGTCAGCATATGTCCTGCCTTTGCTGAAAGGAGGGGAGCCAACTGTTTTAAATAACTATAGGCCCATCTCTAAGTTGTCAGTTCTGGCTAAGGTTCTTGAACGCCTAGTGAGTGAACAGGTAAAGGAGTTTTTATGTAACAATGACATTCTGTCTAAACATCAGTCAGGCTTCAGAAAGCAACATAGCACCATCACTGCCACAATGAAAGTGGTGAATGACATTACAAGTATTTTAGATAATAAGCAGAGCTGTGCAGCTCTATTTATTGACCTTTCCAAAGCGTTTGATACCGTCGATCATCACATCTTAAAGCAGAGGCTACTCAGTATTGGCTTATCCAGCCATGCAGTGGGTGGTTTGTGAACTACCTCTCTGAAAGGTCCCAATGTGTTCACTTTGATGGGCTGTCTTCTGAGTGGTTGAACATTGCTAATGGTGTTCCTCAAGGTTCTGTTTCAGGTCCACTTTTATTCTCCATCTACATCAATAGTTTAGGTGGAAATGTGGATGAAGCTACTTTGCATTTTTATGCGGATGACACCGTGATGTACTGTGCAGGTCCCTCCATTAAGGAGGCTGGTGTTAAATTACAGGCTGTTTTTAACATTATTCAGACTCAGCTCTCTGAACTAAAGCTTCTTTTAAATGTTGAGAAAACCAAAGTAATGCTCTTTTCTAAAGCTAAAAAGACTCCAGAGACTGCTTTGGATATTGTGACTATGCAAGGACAAGTACTCCAAGTGGTTAGCTATTATAAATACCTTGGTATCTGGCTTGATGATTGTCTTAGTTTTAAACTTCACGTCACTAATCTGCTTAAAAAGCTGAGGGTTAGGCTAGGTTTCTTTTTCAGAAACAAGTCCTCTTTCTCTTTTGAAGCCAGGAAAAGGCTCTGTGACCTTTTGACCTGTGCTAGACTATGGTGATTTGATCTATATGAATGCACCTGCCCATTGCCTGGAAAGGTTAGATGCCGCCTATCACAGTGCTCTGAGATTTGTTACTAACTGTAAAGTACTTACTCATCACTGTACCCTGTATGCCAAGACAGGTCTGCCTTCACTAACTGGTCGGAGGCTCAGTCATTGGTACATGTTCATCTACAAAGCCATGCTGGGTAAACTACCTTCTTATATCTGCTCCTTGATCTCACGGAGAGTGGCAAGTAGCTATTGCCTGAGATCACAGGATGTGTTTTTATTACATGTGCCAAGTGCTAGGACTGTTTTAGGTACTAAAGCTTTTATGTGCGCTGCTCCTCTAGCTTGGAACACTATGCAAAAAATATTGAAACTGAGCATTTTGATTCCCTTGCATCGTTTTAAAGCACGGCTGGATGAAATATTATTGGATACCTGTAAATGTAAATAGGTTGCTAATGTATACCCCTGTACTTATGTTGTGATGTCCTTTTGTTTTCTGTTTGTTTTTATATGTGTAACTCAATGTACCGCAGGTCTCCCTTGTAAAAGAGATCGTTGATCTCAATGGGATTTTTTAACCTGGATAAATAAAGGCTACAGACAAACAATAAATAAACTTGGCTTCACCTAGATCACCTGCTTTAAATTAAATGTGACAGAAGCCTACGTCAGTATCACCAAACAGAGCGAACACATGTCACACTCCCCGGTTAAATCTCTATATTCTTCTCTTTCACGGTGGAAACACCCGGTGTGGGCATCATCACTTCTTGTCTCGTTTTAAATACATTACAGTAGTTTGACATTTATTACTAAACTATACAAGTTGACAAACATCACAATCATTATAATACATCATTACAAACACCACATTCAATAGTTATAATAGTAAATACCTGATGGTTAAACAATACTCCAGGTGTCTTCGTCTTAGCGCACTTCAGACCTGTGTTAAACCTGTCTGTGAGCTGCGTTGATGTTATCCTGTGAACCTGAGGGCTGTAACATAGTGATGAGCTGTAACAACACACACACACACACACACACACACACACACACACACACACACACACACACACACACACACACACACACAAACACGTCATTGTTTCCCCCAAGGAAGCAAGGTACGTGACCTCAGGTTTTACATGTCTCCACATCCGTGACTAAAGCAGTAATCTGCACGTCACCATAGGCAGTACAACCTGTAAGTGTCGGAAGTAGTTAAGAATAATAATATTAATAATATGGATAATGCGTGGGCCTTAACGCAATTAACCTGCTAGACCCCAAGCCTGTTTTTCAGGTTTCAGGCTCGAAAATGACATGCCCAGAACAAATGACTATAACTTCACTTCTAAAAGGGTTAAATTAATAATCTTTTTTCTCAAAGCAAGGTTACATCTGTGAGATGGATGTAGAAGTGTGAGAATCAATATAGATGTTTCTGTGTCAGAGTGAATTCAGATGGAACATAGTAAAAAAGTGTAAATTCTTACCTCCGCCTAACAAAAAACGATTACTTATAGTGAAAACCACCCTTGAATGATGGGTTAGTAGACTAAAAGCTTTAGGAATCCAAAGTATAACATAATAAGTACCCTGTATCAAGATTGAGGCAAAACAAGTGAAAATTGACCTTTTTAGAGAGGTTTAGGGGAAAAAAGTGCCATTTGACCTTTTTCATGGAACCAGACTGTAAAAATCATTTTATAACATTGAATCATCACTATAGTTATTCATTCCATAAAAAAAAAAAAAAAAAAAATTATTGTAAAATGTAACCTGCTAATTATTGTCATGGATTTGAAAACTGATGTTGTTTATTTGCTATGTTCTGGCTGCTAGCTCAGTGAATTCTTGCCTGCAGTGATGGGGTGTATACCCATGGAATCTGTGGAATCTCAGCTTTCAGATGATGTGTTGTTTGTGCAGAAAGTATAATTATAAATGATCATTTTTGTGAGTTATGAGCAGAAATAGCATTAGTCCGTATTTGCTAAGGGCTCATTGAAAGGCTTCTTCTGGGAATTATTATTATTATTATTATTTATTTTTTTGTATAGTCAGTTAGCTGAGTTTCTTCCCGTCAGCTAGGTGTGGAACATTAATAATTTCATAAATGACACTTCAGAGATCACACTGGTGCTAGCAGATGTAGCATTTTCGGACCCTTCGGCGGGTCCATGGGGTTTAACAGGTTAAGGCCTTAATTGGGACAAAGCGGCTTTTATCTTTTGGACACACTGTAAAAAAAAAAATGTTTTTTTACAGTTTTTCCCCCAAAAAATTACAGTTTTTTATTGTATTTCATAATTACAGGAAATCATATTCAATTTACAAGAATAAACGGTTTATTGAAATGTGTCATGTATTTTAACAAAAAAAAACTGTAGAAATGGAAAACATTATTTATCTGTTTTTTAGCAGTTTTTAAATGCGAATTTAACAAAACTAACCGTAAAAATAAATGATTTTCTGTTGGCAAAATTAGCTGCATTTTCTGTAATTTTACTAAAAAAATACTTTTGTTATGGCTATATATAACTGTCAAATACATAACAAATACTGTTAATACTCATTTAAAAAATGTATAATTGCAAGAAAATATATGAGTAAAGAAAGAAATATTTTGTAATTTTGCTTAATTTAACCACTACTTTACATTGATAAACTGAAAAAACACAGGTATTGACTATCCTATTATAGTAACAAAAAAACTACATTTTGACTTTCACTTTATTGCTACATTTGTATTAATTTGAAGATTTAATTGTTAAATATGTGAATTTCATGTTATAAAAACTGTGTAAAACCATAGAGTTAAAAAAAAACTTGACTGTTAGCATGTTGGGTGCGAATTCCTACCAGAGCACAATTCAGATATAAAATGATACTATAACCCACCAGTAACAGCCTGTGGGTTATATAGGAGACATTTGGCTATGCCATGATACATCTATAAACTAGCTCATAGCTGTCAGCATTCACTGCAGGCAAACCTAATGTGACCATTCACTTATGATTTCTAAGTAGAAGAAGAAGAAGAAGAAGAAGATATCATGTATTCATCACTCAGAGGGAAAAGTCTTCCCCCTCTCTGTTGTGTTTAAACACATTACACACACAGGGAGGATATACTGTACATGCACAAACACACAGAGCATATACATGCACAAACACAATCACATGCGGATAGGAGAGGGGATCGCAGAGAGGCTGCCAGATAGCCGGCGCCAGGGAGCAGTTTTGGTGTTCGGTGCGTTCACAGCCCAAGTAACATTGACCTGCTGATCTCTTTCAACACAAGAAAAAGCTGTGCCAATTTCTGACATCATTTAGCTTTTCAGATGATCAGAGACGCGAAGCTACCGCAAAGTCACTTGTGCAGCTAACGGTGATTGGCAGACAGTATGCAAAAAAACATATTGAGTTTCACTGTAAGCGAAAAATGAAAGGATCTAGAAGTTAAATAACATTAGCATCTTCCCCTAGGCCTTATCACACTAGCATAAGCCCATAACATTGAACATGCTAGCAAGCACTTACAGCCAGCCTACTCTGAATATCAAAACCTTGTTAGCAGTTAGTGCTACCACTATGCTAAATTGGTATTAGCATTGCGATTACAGTAAAGCAACTCTACTAACAAACAACCAACTGTTGTGCGTTCACAACCCAAGTAACATTGACCTGCTGATCTGTTTCAACACAAGAAAAAGCTGTGTACATTTCTGACATCATTTAGCTTTTCAGATCATCAGAGACGTGAAGCTACCGCAAAGTGCCTTGTGCAGCTAACACAGAGTGCATTCTCGTAGCGATTGCTACAACTGCACCGTGTTTGTTAGGAAAGTAGCTTTTAGAAATGTATCAATGTTCTAAAATGTGTGACTTTAACTCAATATTTAAAACACAGAGTGATTGGCGCACAGTATGCAAAAAACATATTGAGTTTCACTCTAAGTAAAAAATGAAAGGATCTAGAAGTTAAATAACATTAGCATCTTCCCCTAGGCCTTATCACACTAGCATGTACAATTTAGCCCATAACATTGAACATGCACTAACAGCCAGACTCTGAATATCAAAACCGTGTTAGCAGTTAGTGCTACCACTATGCTAAATTGGTATTAGCATTGCAATTACAGTAAAACGAACAATGTTGTCCTTTTAGACGTCTAATAATATCCAACTATTCAATGCATCACATTGAAAGAATAGGCCTTCACCAAAGCATGTTGACAAAGCTAGTAGCTACAGCGAAATACATTTACAATCCAAGTCAATTAACTTAAATATGTATTGTGATAATGTCCCACACAGCTAGTTGGTTACAACAATCTACAGTGATGTCACAGATTTCAGGCAGCAGGTAGTTGAAGGTTAAGTACCTAAATTCACTTGTTAATCCATTTGCTATGGCTACAACTGCCTCGTGGAACAACAACGATTTATTTTCTGTTTGTTTAATATAGGAATGCATCTTTGTCTATCACACTTTGCTTCTGTAGATCTCCCATCTGACTTTATTGTGAGCTTGTGTTTTCAAAAAGTAAATTGAGCATGTTTTATGAGACTGAACAGTCTCATGGGGTATTGGACTCTCTTAAAACCCAGGTAGGTGCAGAATAGGTTTCTCAAAAATAAAGCAAACAGGAAGGCAGTACTATGCATGACTAAAAATGATATGTACACGTTGATTAATACCTACTTAACTTGTACTTGGGACAGGACTGCAAAGTACAGATGGGATATTCCTGATCATAATCAAACTTATATAAATGTGCACCAACATTAGTTATCAGTGTTCTGTATTCTCAATTTAAAAGAATAAACTGACAATAAAGAAGTCTTATAACATATTTTGCTTGTGTCTTTGGAAGGCCTTCAGTGTTTGTTTTATTATTTATCAACTAGTTACATTGTCATTTTGTAAATTAAGAAAATAAAATCCAAAGAATTAAACAATTATAATTGCAATGTAAATAGTTTGCACCCCATTTTTTTACTTTTAAATTAATCTTTATGGTGTGGTGTTACCAATTCTTAAAATAATACAAGGATTGGATGTTCATCAAAGGATTTTCAGGGCAATCGATTTGCAGCCAATCAGAGACGAGACTTCTGCTGCAGCACCCATCATGCCTTGAGGCACTGATACTACAGAGACCACTCAGTTAGCACGCAGGAGGTGAAGAGCACTGCACGTGGCGCGCCCAGAGGAGAGGAATCAGCACTTTCAGAGGTAACGGTAAAAACTATTTATCAACGGATTCAAAACACTCAAGACTTAAAACATTGCAAACGTCAAAGTCCTAGCTATGGTATACATTTTGTTTAACGACCGAAAACAAAGTAATGTTAGCTAACGTTACCATAGCTAGGTAGCAGCTAGCTAGCTATGGTAGCAGCTAGCTACCATGCTTTGAAATTGAGCTGTTCTATGCCGTCATTATGCAGGGTGTTACTTTTTTAATGGTGCTCGAGTGGCTGAGCTGATGTGCAGTGAATGTTTCAGAGTTACTTTTTCGCAATATTATTTAATAAATAGTTTAGCTAGCTAACTAGCATACATTGTCACTAACTCCTAATGTTAGCTCAATCCTTAGTTTTATAATCGATTTTTTTGTGGGCATAATGTTACACACAATGCACATTATCCATATCTTTTAAATCCTATGTTAAGGCTATAATCAGAGGTGAGAGAAGTTCTCTGATCTTGTACTTGAATAAGAGTAGAAGTACTCAGGTCTTATACTTAAAGTGGCAGAGTTCCCGTTAGAATATTTTTTTGCCGGTCAACATGTCCGTTAAAGTTTAAATCTTCCGGACAAAATGAGAAAAGTGCCGGTCAAAGGTCTTCTTATTTATTGAGCTTTTAAACAAATTGATATGATTCGATATTAAACAAACTAATTCTAGTAGATTAACTACATTATTCAAAAGTGTACAGTAATTTATAACACGGGAATAATAAACGGAGCGCTCTCTCTCCCTCTCCTGACATCCCGTCAGTATCATTGTGCTAAAGGGAAATTATTTTGACCGGACATTTTGACAGGAGAGATTTAGATTTGCCGGTCTTCAGCATATTTTACCGGTCATAGTCCGGTAATTACCGGCTAACGGGAACTCTGAGTGGTATTACTGTATTTAAAGCTGCTGCTGTGTTATTTAAGTTATTTTTGCTTAAGCATGTGCAAACTTGTGTCTCTTTTTTTCCCTCAGCTGTTACTGTAGCTGCAGTACCAGTAATTGCAACCTACCAAGAATAAACAGCAGCCAGAGATCCTCAAGTAAGATTTCTTGCCATATTACAAGTGTTATCAATTCTCAATGTCCTATATGGTATTGCTATGCAAACAGTGAAAGGATATGGAAATTATCAAGAGGTGGCTAAAATATGTTTTTCTGCTGACCCTGTCCAGAGCAGTACATTGCTTTGCTTCCAGGTGGTTGCTCCTGTCTGCATCTCCAAGCTCGGGGCATACCGGCCATCAGTGGCGGACTGGCCATCGGGACGTTCGGGACGAATCCCGATGGGCCGGTCGGGCCACTCGGCCCACTTCGGTACCGGCAGGGGCGGACTGACCATCTGTAGAATCACCGAACGGCCGGGTCGGTTTGCTGTTTTTAAACGGCATCATTGAAGTTGCGCTGACAGGCGACAGAGGTCCACCGTTTCCCAGTCCGCCCCTGCCGGCCATCATCTACTCTAGGTAATACACTGACTATGGATAAGTACCTTTTATAAAACCCCACTTTAAACACCCAAACTATCCCTTTATGATGTGACATTTTCTACACTGTTAACATTAGGAAACATGAGCTGATCATTCCTAAAATACAATTGGCCATGTGATCACCAGTAAAAAAACAAAACAATCTGCACTAAATATTTTTTGGATTTATAAATGTTTTGTGACTTTTTCCTGTTGTGTACCTTAAGGGAGTTCTCCCCTGACAGCTGGACACTACCTGATAGCAGAGGACCAGACCATCGTCAGTGGCAGTGTCCTGAATATTGTCGACGCCCTGATACTGATGTTTGCAGCATATTACTGCCTCAACATCAGTTATCGCTCAGAACTGGGAGCTACCCTGGAGTTCTTGCAGAGGTAAGACTTGAATTGTAATTATTAAGTAATTCCATCTTAAACCACAGAGTAGAGGATTGTGCACATTTCTGACACACGATAAGTGCTCCTGACAATACAAGATAATCGAGATAAAAAGATTATTGTGCTGCATTCCAACCCTGTCTCCTAAAAATTACGTTCCCACAGAACTAAACTGCATTCTCAATTACGTTTAGCTAGAAACGTATTTTCTCCCACGTTACGTTTGTTATGAACTTATCTCAAATACGTTTATTTTCTACATATCTTTGCCATTTATTGTCTTGCTTATAATAATGATAATAGTCATTTATAAATATCATTTTAGAGCACACATTTGAAATCGACGATCGGGCTCGATATCCTATGGTTAAATTAAAATCAGTAGGCGAGGCTGTAATTTCGCCAGCTGCGAGGCAGAAAATAATAGTTTTAACATGCCAAAAAGCTGCTGTGTCGTTTATTGCACCTCAAACATTCAAACAAATCCAGAGTTACGTGTTTCTGTACTTCCTCTAAGAAGAAAGGACAGAAGAGCTCTGTGGCTTCAGGCTTGATCGCCGTTCAAATGACAGCTGGTTTCCCCAAAAGTGGGCGGGGCTGTAAAGTGACGTAGGAAAGATCCTCAGCTTGCTGATTGGATGTTTTAGCCGCAATGCACGTCGGGATATGGTGTTAATGCGATATGAAATCCGAAAAAAAAATCAGAGTTTAGGATGGCCGAAGACACTACACTACCCATAATCCCCAGCTATCGTTTGGGACTACAGTCCCGTTGACCCGTGATTAATCTTCAAGCTCTGGGATTGGATGTTGGAGTGGCAGTGCGCCAAGGTTACGCCGAGCGCCAAACAGCTCTTTGAAATGGAACGAAACCACGGCAGACTTTCCAAAACTGGACTCGAACGCCCCCCCAGAACTACATATGCTGGCTATTGTGTTTCGCAACATGTTCTATGGCACGTCTCTACTGGGAATTGTAGTTTTAAAAGACGTTTTCGTTTTTCCCAAAATTAGAAGTTGACAGTATTAAACTGTGTACAGCCCTGGAGGTTTAGGCGATAGGAAACAAATTGGTGTGTACAAATGTAAAACATGTAATTAATAAATGGGTGAAAATCGCTTGTGTCCATAATGGGAAGCATTAATATATACCCACATGCCAGCTCATTGTTACTTTCTAATTCTACTCCACTACAATTCAGAGGTTAACCTGGTATTTTTACTCCACTACATTTATTTTAGTTACTTTGCAGATTCTGATTAATGATGTGAAATATAAACAACCCTTAAAGCAGACTTTAGTTACACCTGAGTAAAATTCAAGGACAGGTGATTGTCAAGTGCCAACAATCAGGAGAGATATTAGTTGGTGCTTGAGAAGACTAAACATTTATCTGCAGATCTCTATAAAGTATATTCATTACTCGTTATTCTCTACTAATAGTTAATTAAAGACTGTATATAATAGCTATTTTGCACATCCCTTTCAAGATTTTCTAAGGTTTATTGACATATCATATACACAACTATGTTGAAGTCATGCAATTAATGAAAAACTTGGGTCACAGGTTCCTCAACAGTGCATTACAAGACATCTATCAATATGTGTGTATACCTCCACCATTAAACTCAAATTCTGCACATGTCTTATACTATCTACTGTTGAAGAGAGGAAGAAAATGGAACAATGTATTTTATTATATAAAGCTTAAATATGCTAAAAACTGTGTTAAAACTCTGAATGCCATAGACATGTATCGTATAGTTTAATGCTTTAGCAATATAAACAGGATGTATAACATAAATCCTTACATGGGTGCTCATAAAGACCCGTGATGCAAAGTACGCACTTCCTCTTTCGAGGACTTGAACTCTCTATGCACTTCCCTTTTCGAGGAGAACATCTGTTATGTATTTCCTCGCTGGAAGTGAACAGTTAAACACAACAACGAAGAAGGACACCTCTAAACGCGCCAGCTTGCACAACAAGCATGTGACAAACCACGTGTCAGACCATGTGACAAACCGCGGGAAAAAAGAGGATAAAAGAAGACTGAAAAACACTGGAGGGCAGTTCCTCTTCGAACCCAGTTTGAACTTGAACTCTCCAGCTTGTTTAGCAAGCAACGGAAGACGATCGTATTACTTACTCGTATTGAGGCAAAGATCTCGGATATAATATGTATCTGGGCAAAACGCATTTCATTTTTTATTGATGTGTGGTGTTGTAACTTGTGAAACTTTAATAAAACTACCTGTTCACATTTGTGATAGGAAACTAAAGTCCATGTAGCCCTTCTGATTATTGTTGAATAGGTGACAATTCAGACGGCACTGTAAACCTGTTCCCACATAGCTTGAGTCCTGAGTCCAGTCTGATTCCAGTGTCCTGTTCCTTGGCTGAGGATCAATCCCTGACGGAGTCTTGCAGAGACACGAGAGAGAACAACAGGTAAGTCGCACCTAAGCTAAACTCTGTTGCTGGATTCTATGTCATATTGGAGGTCGCCACGATCGGTTGATCTTAAATACGGCAGCAGTGCTTTACGGGTATTGAATCCCAAGGTTTCAGAGGTGTGTTCATTAAGGTCTCTGTTTAAAGTCTAAAGGGAAAAACTAACAGGGTAAAAGCTGAAATGATGTGCAAAAACTGATTAATGGAGGTAGTATAGAAAGAAGGGAGTTTGTCGGTACCTCGTGGTGGTGTGTGGGTCACACCTTTTATGCCCGGTCTGAGTAAAAACCGCAACCTTTTAACACTACATACATAAGAGTATAATTAATATATATATAATATCAGTTAAAATAAGTGCTTCAACACAGTTAACATTGCAGGAAAGCAATATATTAGACGTTAAGTACTTTGTCAGGCTTAATATTTATCTGTAGATACCCCCAAAGCTTTTTTCTTATTTGAAAGAAGACCTTAACCTAAAGTATTCTTTAATGTGTTATTAAAGGTTAATTAGTTTGTCTGTTTTGCACATCCTCATATTAATATCTTTGTACATCAGGCACTAAACTGTTTTATTGTAGAGATCACTTACAGTATCTTCTTGATTTTTTATATTCTATATTTCTATCATTGACCTTCTACTTTCCCCCTAAGTATGTACTCTTAATATTTTATTCATCAAATAACATTATTCAACAAAAATAACATTATTCAACGAAAATAATTAAATAACGTGCTTTAACCACTAGGCGGTGCACACAAGGTACACACAGTATACTAATAATAACTTTGTATTATTAGTGTAGGACACTTATGTATGTAGAACATCTGAAGATGTGTAGTTTTATTCATGTTTTTACATAATTTTACAGGATATTGCTATATTATTTCTCATGTTTTACTTCTCCACATTAATATCTGATTTGTAAAACATCACAGACAGAAAGGTATATCCGTCATTTAACAGTAAGCTATTGAAATTGTGATTCCATAGATGTGTCTCCCATCACCCAAATCCCCTGACTATTCTCTCAACTCAGTATTTACATTCTTATATTCAAAGAAAATCAGTAATATCTTTAAAAACGACAAGTCCTTTTCTATCAGCTGTGCACCGTTATGGTATAAATATAACCTATCTACCAATTGGATCAAATATAAAAGTCAGCCGAATTACTATTGATACTGCAAGGAGACGTATTTTGTGAAAAGAAATGTAAGATGTTGTTTCATTGCTGATATATTTATGATCCACGTCACGTATTCAGTTTCGGCGGCAGTTCTTCCTGTTTGTCCAGAAGTCTTCTCATCAAGGCTCTATAAATACAGAACTACGGCAGATGTGTAATATTTAATGCAGCCGAACCGTGTATTACAATGCCGTTATGTGATGACCTCCAAAGAGAAAAGCAAGAACACTCGGAATAAAGTATTATTATTTTTTTTTTTAATGTTTTCGGATTTCACATCGCATAAACACCATATCCCAACGTGCATTGCGGCTAAAACATCCAATCAGCGAGCTGAGGATCTTTCCTACATCTGTTTCCGGTATTGTTCCTGTAATGAGAGTTCACATTTATGCTACATTGAAGGGTGGAATTGACTACACATCTTCAGAAACATAATTTGCTTCAGATATATACTGTAACTCATAGCAATATTGTAACCATTAAGAAAAGCCAACTGCATTAAAAACCCAGTTAACAAACACTAGGTAAAGTATTTTTCGTTCAGTAATGAAGATGTAATTCCAATGTAGACACACCTGGGGTCGCTGTTCAGTCTGTTACGCTGAGCCATGCATTGTCTGGAACGTAAAAGGGACGAAGAAGACGAAGTGAAGTGACGTACTTCCGGTTCAATGTGAAAACATTCCCAGTTAAACAACAGAAACAAATCGCTTAATAAAAAGATAAAACACTGGCATGTAATTTACGTTAGAATAAATAGAATGGTTTTGAATAATAGATGAGAGTAAAATCTACGTCACTTTACAGCAGAGGTGGGGACTCGAGTCACATGACTTGACTCGAGTCCCATATTTTTTTACTTGAGACTTGCTTGACTAACATTGATAAAAGACTTGACTTGACTTTGACTTGGTATTCATGACTTGAGACTTGACTTAAGCTTGAGACAGATGACTTGAAAGGACTTGTCTGTTTCAAATTAAATATTTGCATTTGTTTTTGTAGTGAGATATTGCGTTTAGTTTTTTCGAAAAACGTGATTGGGTGATTTTAGCGCCGTGCGCGCAAACCTGGCAACCCACTAGACGGCAGGAGTGTCAGTTAACATGGCAGCGGCTAGCGTTACTCCACAAATAGTGAAGTTTGGATTCAAGGATTATGTTGTCGATGACGCTAATAAGAAGAGAACAGCGGTATGCAGGGTCTGCAGCATAAAGATCAGTGACACGACCACCACAACATCCAACTTCATTCGTCACTACAAAAAACCCACAGAGAAAGTGCGTGAATGTGTTGTTAGAAAGCTAACGTTAAGTTTAAGCTACGTTAGACTTGGTTTCAAATCGATTAAGCATTGAGAAGAGAAGACAAAACGGTAAATTAACACTAGAACCGCCAAGGGATTCATTTTGACTAACCCTGATACTGACGGGCTGTCAGGAGAGGGAGAGAGAGAGAGAGAGAGAGAGAGAGAGAGAGAGAGAGAGAGAGAGAGAGAGAGAGAGAGAGAGAGAGAGAGAGAGAGAGAGAGAGAGAGAGAGAGAGATAGAGAGAGAGAGAGAGAGATAGAGAGAGAGAGAGAGAGAGAGAGAGAGAGAGAGAGAGAAGAGAGCTGTGTTATCAGAAGTTACTGTAAACTGTTGAATAATGTAGTTCATCTACTTTTAGTAGTTTGTTTAAATGTTTTAATTATGTTGTTTTTGTTGGTAGAAGTGCATCATTCCTTGATTTATTGTAAAATGAATCTGAACTTTTTGATCTGTTATGATGATAAACTGAAGCCATTTCTAAATTAACCCAATTAAGTGAGTTTTAAATCGTCCTACTTAGTTTATAAGGAAATGATGAAGAGGAACAAATTAAATGATTTGAACATGATATCTCTGTAGGTGCTGACGCTGTTGGTGGTTCTAGTGTTAACAGACATTTAAATTAAATATGTGTAATGGCAAATGCCATATATGATTTTCTTACCTGGAATTCTGCCTTTTTGAACAGACTGACTGAGTCCTAGCTATATTGTCTGCAGTTCTAGGGTTAATATGAATCTGATATGATTGTCATCGGTCTAAATTAGATTTCAAATGATTAACTGTGTATGTAATGAAGATCATAGTGTGGGTTGAATCCATTTTCATAACCACTGTCTTTTAACTGATTTAAATGCGGAAACTGGGCTTATTCATCAGAATTTCGTATGACTTGACTTGACTTGCTTGACTCTCACCACAGTGACTTGGGACTTGCTTGATACTTGTAGGTCAAGACTTGAGACTTGCTCATGACTTGCACATGTAGGACTTACTCCCACCTCTGGTTTACAGCCCCACCCACTTTTGGGGAAACCAACGCTGTCATTTGAACGGCGATCAAGCCTGAAGCCACAGAGCTCTTCTGCTGTCCTGAGAGGAAGTTTGAGGTGTTTGAGGTGCAATAAACGACACAGCAGCTTTTTGGCATGTTAAAACTATTATTTTCTGCCTCGCAGCTGGCGAAATTACAGCCTCGCCTACTGATTTTAATTTAACCATAGGATATCGAGCCTGATCGTCGATTTCAAATGTGTGCTCTAAAATGATATTTATAAATGACTATTATCATTATTATAAGCAAGACAATAAATGGCAAAGATATGTAGAAAATAAACGTATTTGAGATAAGTTCATAACCAACGTAACGTGGGAGAAAATACGTTTCTAGCTAAACGTAATTGAGAATGCAGTTTAGTTCTGTGGGAACGTAATTTTTAGGAGACAGGGTTGCGCATTCTGTTTCGCATTATGCTCTCATTTTGTCTTGGGTTGTAAATGCAGCGTACCCCTTTCCTTTGCAGTGGTGTGCTTTGGCTCCTCCCTAAAAGCCCAAACTCACTCTTAGCCAATCGGTGGTATGTTTACTTCAGCTCAATGAAAATGACGGAAAGAGGGCCCTTTGTGGACAACAAAAGAAAACCTGGTATTATTGCAGTGAACAAACACATTAAAACTTCTTTCGGTTAACTACGATGCTTTTACACCGCTCACTCTGCTGCTGACACGCACCTCATCTGCCCCAGTTACACACTCTCAAGATGGGACTCGTAGCTACCCACATTCAAATGATCTTCAAGTGACCGCTTGCTCCTGTTTACAGACCTGCTGCGATACTGTCCAGTGTGATAGTGATGCCAAGTGACGACTTTATATAACAAAATCTATTCAAACCAATGCTTTAAATGCACAGATATGATCATAGCAGTTAATGAAAAGTACATTGAAGAGTAGCATTGCCCTTTGACTTCAAGCTGTATAACTGTAAAGACAATTAATGGCTGTATCATCCACAGAATGTGTAATTAAACACTAAATGTAAGTGTACTTCTGTCTTAACAGGTGCCTATTCAAGATCAATCCGGACTAGAGTGGAGAGGAAGGAATACAAACACAAACAGCACTCGATAAAGGTGCATTCATTAATTACAAACGTCGCTGACTTTGAATGGAGAGAGTTGAAACACACATAGTCATGTACACACGCACGCACATAACTGGTAGATTTCTTTAGTGTTTATAATTGTTATCTTTTGAACAAAATGTTGGCTATTTGTTAAATGTTGAAATGTTTCATTGCCGGTCTATTCTGCTTTATTATTACTTAAAATATATTTTATTTATTGTTTATTTTTGTGATGTATATTATTTTCAATAGTATTATATAGTATATATATATTTGATTTTTTTTTCTACTAAACATCGGACAGTTAATGTAAACTTGGGCTTTTGCAAAGTAAAATGACATGTTTACTTTGTGTTTTACATGTAAATGGTCTTAGATTTCATGAAGTTTGCTGACGACACGACCGTCATCGGCCTGATCACCGACGGCGACGAGACGGCGTACAGAGAGGTCGAAAATCTGACATCTTGGTGCCAGGATAACAACCTCCATCTCAACGTCAGCAAAACAAAGGAGCTGATTGTGGATTACAGGAAGCAGCAGGGAGAGGGACACGCCCCCATCGCCATCAATGGGACTACGGTGGAGAGAGTCAAAAGCTACAGGTTCCTTGGGGTCCACATCACTGAGGACCTGACATGGACTCATCACTGAAGACCTGACTCATCACTAAGGACCTGACATGGACTCATCACTGAGGACCTGACATGGACTCATCACTGAGGACCTGACTCATCACTAAGGACCTGACATGGACTCATCACTGAGGACCTGACTCATCACTGAGGACCTGACATGGACTCATCACTGAGGACCTGACTCATCACTAAGGACCTGACATGGACTCATCACTGAGGACCTGACTCATCACTGAGGACCTGACTCATCACTAAGGACCTGACATGGACTCATCACTGAGGACCTGACTCATCACTGAGGACCTGACATGGACTCATCACACTAACACCATCACCAAAACAGCGGCTCTTTAAAAACAAAATTGTATTAGTCAATTTATTGAACATGTTAGAAACAAAACAAACAATAATATTTATCGTATTTTAGCTTAAAAACGTTTCTGGTCAGGTCCTGCTCGGAACCATTCAGGATTTGGTTTCTAAATAAGAGTTTTAGTTTAGATAAAGTTGCACAGTATTTCAGCTCATCATTACAGTTATTCCACAGATGAACACCTTCTGTTGTGATGCAATGAAGTTTGGAATTTGTTCGAATGGGTGGTTTTAAAAAAATGCAGTTTCCTCTCAACATGTGTATGTTTTCTCTCCGTGTGAAAAGTCCCTGGACATTATGATGTAATTGTTCTGCAGGCTGAGGAAGTTCAACATGGACTCCAGGATACTCTGCATCTTCTACAGGTGCACCATAGAGAGTATCCTGACTGGCTGCATCACGGCCTGGTACGGCAGTGCAATCATATTCCGTTTACTTGCATATAGACTCTTCTTGCACTATTTCTATTCTATTTTATTTGTTCTATGTTCTATATATATGTTGCACTGTTGGAGGAGCCTGTGACTTCAGTTGTTCATTGCCATGTCTACTCAGAAGCTAATGTACAAATGACAATAAAGCCTTGAATCTTGAATTTACGGTATTTTTTCAAATGACAACAGTAATCTTCTTTCTTTCAGCTTTTTTTGATCATTTAAAAAAATATTTATTCAGTTTTTCTAGAGGTGTATAACTCTATTCTAACAATTAATATATGTTAAAAGAAAAAGATTTCCTGTAAAATTACAGATTTTTTTTGGCAAAAAATGTGATAGTTAATGTAAACTAAAGCTTTTGCAAAGTAAAATGACATTCTTTTCTTTGTGTTTTAATGGTAAATGGTCTTAGATACACGGTACTTTTTTGTAATAATAAAAGTAATTTTATGTATTTTAGCTTTTTTTTATCATTTTTTAAAGATAATTATTCCGTTTTCTAGAGGTTTATGACTCTATTCTAACAAATAATATATGTTAAAATAAAAAGATTTCATGTGAAATTACAGTAATAGAGGCTACTTGTGGTAAGGTAAGTAACTTTTTTTTTACATGTTATCTCCGTATTTTATTTTACAGTTTTTTTCCTTTTTTTAACGGACATTTTCTGGCGCCCCCGTCGCCAGAAAATGTCAGTTTTTTTACAATTTTTTTTTTTACAGTGCACAGAAAGATCGAAATACTGTTTCCCACAGTCCAGAGGTATACAAAACACACATTAAAATGCAAGAACACTCTATAATTACAAAAAAACACAAAATAACAGTTTACTTCAGTAAGCAGGATATATATAAAAAGATGATGTACATAGTGCAAATGAGAGTGCAAAAATGTTTCCATAGCAGCGTAAAAGTGACTGGTGCTGGATTTGTTGTGTCAGTTGTTGAGATATTTGGTTCTGGACAGACTTTGGTACTAACCTGAGGAAGCTGCACATTTATTTTTAGAGCTGCAGTTATGAGTTAGGATCCGGACTGATCAAACTAAGAGCAGAAAACTGAGGAAGAGATAAAGATGCCGTTGGGTTTGTGCCGGTGTGACATGGTTCAGGGAAATGTGAGAGGAAATGCAGCCAAAACCACTGAGGCTGTCTTCAAACACAGATCACAGAATACTTAAAGCTATTTTTTAACGATCAAGCATTTAATAAGCACAGCAAGAAAATAATGCGTAGGCCACCTGCCAGAAAGTGAGAATGAACAATTCTCTGTGGCCACGGTGTAACAGGAGGAAACTGGTATCTGGACCCCCTCAACTCAAACCACCAGATCAATCCCTCTCTGTGCAGCAAACTCAAGAGATCAACATGTTCAGGTCAAAAGTTCAAACACGTACAGCGTGGTTTTCATGTACGTCTGAAAGCCAAAGGTCACCTGATAACCCTGACGCTCAAAGTTTCCACTGTTGATGTGTGCTGATTTTCTCGCGTCCAGGAAGAAGTTTAAAGATTAAGAGAAAAATGAGTCTCTGAAAGGGTTCAAATTGGTTACTTTAATTTAAGCAGCGTGGTAGTGAAACAAACAAAGGGTAGTTGGGAGACAAAGCCGGTGTTGTCTCGCAGCTGGTACCAAGGGAAGAGCGCGAGCACACGTTGATTCTCCCGCCTGCATCTCTCCTTCGCTCCTCCTCTCTGGGGGCTGTGACGTAGGGAGCCGCCCACCTCGATCTGCACAGGAAGTCGTCATTGTTGTCAACGTCTTTAGATACAGCTTTTCAAAATAAACTTTACTCTGAACTGTTTTCAGAATAAAACAGTTTTTAAAGCTTACTATGTGTTTACGCTAAAATACATCATTGAATATTGATTTTAATTTCTAACAATCCCTCCTTTCACACCTTTTAAGGTGTGAACACAATACTGAAATCAATGAGTTCTTCATCTGAACTTTGCATAGTACATAACTCATATCAAAAACATACTATCAAAATGGAATGGTTCAAATAACCGTCATCAAAAATACAAACAATACATTGGTTGGTCTTCTGGTGTAAAAGTTTTCCCTTGTGCATAACTTTTAGTTTTAACATTCAATATCACTTTTTAAAATAGCAGCAACTTGTGGTATTAGAACATTTCTTACTCCCTCCTTTCACAGAAACCGTTCCCATACCACATTCAGTGTTAAGGCACTTGTTTTACAAAGTATAAAAACATACTATTTAAAAATCGCATCACTAATAACAGTATAAAACATAAAAGTTAGAAACCTTTTTGGAATAGTGCAAAGTAATACCACTTTGTAGCTGGTTCTTCATTCTAATGATTTCATCATTTGAAATATCACATGATTTGGACATTCTTTGAACAATCTCATCATTTATCATCCATATCATTTAACATCATTTACACACTGTCTTCATTTTCATCAATATCTGTATATGGGTTGGGTCGTCTTGTTCTGCTAGCAATTGAAACTGTTCCCTTATGAGAAATGTACCCTCCCCCCTTTCATACTTTTAAAAGTATGAAAATAATATGTTCTCTAGAAAAGGCCGTGGTGATCAATCGGTACGTTAGGGTGCGGGTACATGGAATGCAACTACAACATCTAGCACTCCCCTGGGCACCCCTATGCTATCCTTGTACACTGTGGAGCCTAAACTCCCTCCTTTGACTGGTCTCTTAGCCCTACTGGTTTTGGGGTGTTTCGCCATGTTGATTAACTGCCCCACTGTCATTGGTACTGCATATAAAACATCACTGGCTGTACAAGTGCACAGGTCCCAGTCTAATCCTGTGGCAAGACTGCGTACAAGGTTTTAGTTCCATGATACCATCAAACATCTACTCTGGGATACGGCATTTCAGACAGTCATTTCTGGGAGAAGATTTTTTCAGTTACAACAATTGGAGAATTTCATCACTTATGGTTCCTACTTCAGTACCTTTGGGTGGTCTGTTCTAATGCAGTGATAAAGTTCCTTAAATGGTGTGAAAACCGGTGGAATATCAATAACTCATTATACTAATTTATCTTCAATTCTAGTCTACTTAAAGAACTATGCTAACCCCTTTAACAGTGTGTGGAACCTTGGGTGTCCGAGCATGTAACAGTTACTCCCTCCTTTATCAAGGATTTTAAAAACAGAAGTTATTTCATCAATGGTTTGTAGTTCAATTTAGGAATTTTCACTTATGGCGGATATGTTTCTACTTTAAATAACATCTCTAAATTTCAGGTCATCCCTGATTAAATGGATGACCATCAGGAGGTGGTGGCGCTTGTCTTTTAAACTAATAATTTGGTGCCGTGCGCTCCCTGTGAAGCTACAAGTAAGATTTAAAACAACTGCTGGGTGGGTTGAGTGACCCCTTCTCCCTAAACGATATGGGTTGTCAAAAATATGCATCATTGCAATGAGTGATCCAAGGCCCCGCATGTATTACTCCCAATTATATAGCTTTTTCCAAAATTAAATTTGCAATCGCTCTTTGCCCAGTGTCCTTTAAAACTCTACATCTTGGACAAACAAATGTTATTTCCACCTTAACAGTTCTCCTATGGTAATAACTATGCTACAATGGTGAAAACAATACTTTAGATTGGGATACTATATTTGGCTTGGTATTAGCTCTCCCTTTAACATTGTCCAACTAACACAGATTTGTCTGCTCTTATAGAGTGGTCACTAAAACTATCCCTTTAACTGTAGATCAATATTGTAACACATTAGATCTCTACCAAATTCACCCATGAATAAAATCTCTTAGGGAATAATTCGTTTCCATGATGGAAAGATTGAAAAATATGTTCTACTCTGTACTCCTAAGTCCAAAACACTCACTGCTTAAAGTGTAAAGTGTGGTGAATATTTCCATCATGTCTACCCCTTTATCTCACAGTACCCTCAGTGTGTTTTAGGATTATTTCCTCATTTTACTTTAACAGTTTCCTCTTTATTACTA